ACATAAGAGCAGATCAATGATTAGTTAGTATTGATTTTAACTCTTTTTATTTTTATGAATAACAATAATAAACAATCAAGTAGTGACATTACTTGATTGGGTAATATGATTGCCTTCTGTTGTGATTCATTTTGTTGAGTAATTGTTAATCAAGGAATCTGAATTATGATGAAATATTTTCTTAATCTTTTTTGTATTCCTTTGATCAGTTCTCTTTCACCATTCAGTGAAAGGCTAGAATTATTACTCACCAAGTACAGGTGGAAAAATATGGTAAATCAACTTGTTTGTTGAAGTGTGTTTGATTTGAGAGCTAGGATGAGACAATGGTGTTCTGAGGAAAAGAATCTGTAATTTTTAATGATTAACATCTTCTATCCTCTGATCATGATCATCAAAACTCAACTAGAGATTGATGACACATTCATCTCATCATCTAGATTCATGATGTTATTGACGTCATGATTCAAATTGCAAGCCTTGTGCTTGGCATTATCTTGCTCATTGCATGAGCAGCTTTTATATGTTCATGATCAATAAGATTAATGTTCATGATCAATTATATCAATGCTCTAGATAGATTGATAACTAAAGATATCAACCTACCTGCATTTCTCCTTTTACAAGGGCTAACACACAAAGTTTGATTCCAACAAGATCCATTAGGAATATTTGTGGATATTTAAATAACCTCATGCTAATATTTCTATTTTCAGTATCCAAGTCATTTTTCCCCATTTTTAAACTATGATTTGATATTGATACATACTGTTAGAATGAATTCATCAAAATGATGAAATTTAAGAAAGTTGAATAACAGATAGACATGGCTAGTAACTTTGAGGGCTTGAAAATAGTTTTCTTGAAGTTAAGTGACTAGAGATTGTTTGTTGGTACCCTGCACCACTTGTTGGGTACTGCCAGTTCCTGTTGTGCACCCGTCAGGAGGTGCTAGGTGTCTTGCGGGTACCGCCCCACTTCCCTAGCATAGGGTGGCAGGGGGGGGGGGGGCTGCATACTTTACCATAAATATGAAAAAAATAAAAAAATTGACTAAACTTTCAAAACTAATTCATATCCATGAGTGGACCTCAGTGAGAAAGAGAGGTAAAGTACCGCCAGTACGTGCCAAAAGTAACGGTGGTACCCGCCCCGCAGTGCCAGGTGCAGTACTTGGTACCTATTGTATTGAAAAACTGAACAGGTACCCAAATACAAAGAAATGATCTCTATAAGTGACCATGGCTGTACCAAGCCTATTTGTACAGGAGAAGTTTTTCTGGAAATTGCCTGGTGATATGGTACAAGCCTCACCGGATTACCCAGACAAATATCCTTGAAAATATTGCTGGCCCCTAGGGAAGGTACCTGCCAGAGAGTGCTGGATGTGAATGTGAGTGTCAAGTCTGGGTGGGATTTCAGGCAGGTGCCTACGCCCACCAGGGGCACCTGGGTGAAAGGTGCTAGTAGAGCTGGTCCCTAGTACCTGTTGGAAGGTACTAGGCACCCATGGGAGGTCCTGTGGCAGTGTTCAGGTACCTGTCCGCGGGTGCATGTAGTCCACTTGAGTCAAATTGAAGGGTAGTACCCAAACCCGCTTGTTGAAAAGTGCAAGCTCTAATTTGATTTCTGATACAAAGGATAGCAGCTTGCCAGGTAAAGGGAACCTCCCTGGCAAGCTGACAAACTGACACTACCTCTGTTTTCCAAGAAAGGGATTCAGCCCACACAGGTTAGTAAGTTTCTTTTTTGATTTTACCAGTTCAAAAGGTTAGTCTGATTGTTGAAATTCTGAGCTCAGCGTGCAAGAAGTTGAGGGCCAAAAAAGAAAGGATTCTATGTTGGGAGAGGCTCAGGGAAAAAGAATGAGAGAACCAATGGTTTTTCTTTTATTCACAAGCATCTAGTCAGGTTTATATAGGCTAAATACAAGTGGTTAAAAAAGTGGATTGAAAGAGAATTGAATAAGAAATAATTTTGAATAAAAACTGAGAGGAGTAAATATATGAGTTCTTGAAAGAAAAAAACGTGACAAGCCTTCTCAATCTATTTTAGTCATGTGAGTAAATTAATCAAGAGAAAACACAATTTAGACCACAAATATTGAAAGGCGTTAATTCTCAATAACCAGTTTTTAATGAATCAGATAGTGAACTAGAAAAAGAAAGAAATCTGTCTACAAAACTAGGGTTGTTTGATCAAAATTGCCATGATGAGTTCTAATTAGACTACAAGATAGCATAAGATTCAACAGAAAACTATTTGAGACTATAATTGAGTCCAATTCAAGATGATTCAAGAAAGAAAAGAGAAAAGGAGAAAAGGAAAAGAGGGAGTGATTTTAGGGAGGATAAGTAGACCAGAGAAGTGAAACCTCAACACTGATTCTAGCCATATTGGTGCAAGCTGTACCATATGTAGTCAGTAAATGCTTTTAATGGAAGGTCCCCCTCCTTGCAAAGCTAATTTTTCCATTACTAAATCCCCATTGAATCATGCGTCCCTTGGCAAGCTCTTGTTCCAAATCAGGGGGTTTTGACCAGCCAAAATCTATTCCAGAAAAATGAGATGGTTACACCAATGGAAAATTTTGTGCAAAATGCAAATCTAGGATTCTGTTTGGTAGGGGCATGAGAGGGTTGCAATATCACCAGGATTATATGTGAACTTTGCAAAGAGTTTTATTCTGTGTTCATTGTAAGGCAAAAAAGAAAATAGAAATGAAAACTGAGAGTGAGAAACCTTGGGATAAGAATAATGAGCAAGTGATCAAGTTATGATCTCAGATAAACAAGATTAAATTCATAAATGTTGATTGATTTTGACAAATTAAAGATTTGAGTTTTTTTTTTAAAAAAAAGTGAATTTCAATGCTTATGGAATGATCACATTATTATTCATTTATGGTATTTTGGATTGAAATGTTAATAGTTGTGGAGGTTTTTTTTTAGTTAAAAAGAAAATAAAAATGTTGTATTCTAGCAAAATGAGGGGTGAAAAAAATGACAATTCATTCAAGATTCAAATGTTTGGAAGAATATTTAATGATTTTTCTATTTAAATCTACAATGGAGAATTGAATAATTGAATTGAAGAATTGTTTGAAGCCACCACTTTTCTTTAATTTATCTGCAAGATAAAGTTCTTTCAGTTTTATATTTCCTGAATCCTGAATCCAATAATCTAAACAATCCCATACTAAAGGTGTGATTCTTCTTCTAAATCTTGTAAAACCTTCTGTCTCCAATCTGTGATACTTTTCATCATCAATAAAATCAATGAACCTCTTGATTGCAGTCTTGAATAAAGTTTGCTGATGTTCAATTGAGGGCATACCTTTTCCTATTGGGAAGAAGATTGTATCTATTGCATAAACATATAATAAGTAACTTTGAAGTAATTTGTAGTAATTTGTTTCTTTTAAGTCATCTCTGAAATTGATGCCATATATTTCCCAAAACTTGAACCAATCCCTTTGATGATCCCATAAATATATAAACCTTCTAACAAGGTTGTCAGTATTGAAATTTTTCCTCTTGTTCTTTATTTCAGGATCAGTTCCTGGAGGATCTGATATTCTATAAATTGTGCTTATATCATTGAAATCATTATGTGCATTTTCCAGGTTCAACTTGATCTTTTTTCCTTCACCTGATATTTTTGATTGAAAAAATTCTTGAAGATTTGCTTTAACAGCTGGAGATGGGTGTTCAACCAATAGTACATCCATACAAAAATTCAGAACTTGCATGTGCTTTTCTTTGCTCAAAGAATCCTCCTGTTGATCATGAAAATTGGAACTGGATGCCACTTCATTATGATGTTCTTCCCTCCCTTTAAGAATGTTCATCTCCATTCTGGTTCCAGAAGTCAGCTGTTCCTGATTAGATATTCTGTGCTTCAAAATGTCTTCCTTTTTGTTAGTGCCTTTCTGTTGATTCATTGAGCTTCTGATGGAGCCCCCTTTCTTCCTCTCTAAGTATTTCTTTCGATTTGCAACCAGATCTTTTGTATAAGATTTTGAAAATGGATCAGAGACTCTAGACTTCTTGAATGCTGGACCCTTCAACTGATGGTTCTTTGGCTCCATATCTACACCAGTAAAATCATGGTGATGATCTTCCATTGAGGTCCTCTTCAATCTATCTTGTGTTTGAGAGGAAGAAAATCCATGTTTGTATTTGAAACTACTACCAGGTGTATTGTCAGTGTAAGTAGAAGAATCAAAATTAGTCAAAAAATCTCTTGTTTGCCCCAGATTTTTGGTTTTAGGGTTTCTGACAGATTCTTCAGAAAGCGTGTTGGTATTTGTTATTTCCTTGGGTGGAATTGGAAATGGACCCCCAGGAAAAGTGTCTTTGTGGAACCTTGAGCTGTGACCTTCCCATTGTTTTGGGTAATCAATGCCGTTTGGATCCTTGAATGAATGAGCTGGTGATGAGGAAGAACCAGCAGCAAGAATGCAAGATCCTTGATGGTAAGATGGATTCTGAGCTTCCGCATTCGTGGAAATACCATATCTTTGATCCAGAAACTGGCTGGTTGGAGCAAGTCGCAATTCATGAGCATCATTTCGCAACTGTTCTGGTGACTCGAAGGTGTTGCTAAGGCTAGTTAGAGCTGATGCGGTGTCAAATTCACCTTGAGGGTGTTCAAAGTTACTCATCGACGGTCTCTCCGTTGACAATGTCAATGATAGGTCAGGGATCCAATGTTGGGTATTTGATTTTTGGTTCGAAATATTTGGAGTCGATCGTTGACTAGCAAAGCTATTCAGGAGGTCCTGCATCCCTTCACAGGCCGAAAAAATACCGAAAATGGCAAAGAGGCGATAGTGCTTGATGATCAGGCCCATCTTGAGGATTTGCTGGTGAGTCAGAGAGTGGAGTGAGTCTGAAGACGAGTATATTCAGGAAATTATCCGAGGTAGGGGGCTCTTAAGGAGGATGGCAAAATGATGAAAGTGGCTAGACATTCAAGCTCAGAGTCAAGAGGAAAATCTACTTGTAATGTGGGGGATAGCCGTGATTCAAGTTGGCTTGCCGTTCTGACAAGTCCCAGTTATATTCTGGCGTCACGGGAACGTTCTGTTCGCGTTCTTGCGGCTCCTTCATACGAGCATTATCAAATATGATCAAAATCCTTTGCCCGCTCGGTCCGCTCAAGACCAAGACATGTGCCTTGTGGAAACCTTCGAGTATCACCGCAAGAATTCAGTATGTTGAGATTACAGTTTATGAAGGGCATAGTGATCGTTAAGTTTCGTGTGCTGAACATTGACCTCGTTCAAGCTATCATTTTGTGAACAAGTCTTCACCGAAACCAAAAAGCGAATCACGAAATACCACTTCGCTGTAGCAGACTCTAATGATTTGGCGAGGTGACATTTTTTTTGTTTTGCTTGGCATCCAAGAAGAAGTAGTGGTATCAAGATTCCTCGCCTTTATGGGTTAACATTTTCTGCATGAGTACCATTAGATAAACCCGAGAATTCTTGGTAATAAAACATCGACTTGAGTATAAGATGTGGAGAATCTGCAAGTTGTAGGAGTGCAGAAGCGTTGAGATGACTGCTGATTTCTGCAGTGGAGGACCCTGACGAGGAGCCGTCCCGCGGCCCTCTTCACTGTAATTGTGGTAGAGGTCTTTATGACTATAGAGGTAGTGATTGAGATTCCCCCTCTCCTAATTTCCAGATGCATGATCCTATTTCTATAGTTTTCTTCCGACCAGAGGGGAGTTGGCGGAAGTCTTGAAAAACCCTCCACCCCCCTCTTTATCCCATACCCCCACGCGCTAGTCACGCCGCAGGATTACGTAGCAACTAACGCGTGTGGGTGTCGGTGGAGGCTGATGAAAATTGGACTCACTCTTACACTCAACCTCACGTGCAAAAATTCAAGATTTATTTATTTTTTCCTTTGACGACAAGATTCGGAAAATTCAATATAAAATAACAGTTGAGAAATGGGTAAGGATTAGCGCGTCGACGCGTTTCGCTGCTTCCTATACTACTAGCAATCTTTCTGATCCAGAAGTGAGGGCCAGAAAAACTGGGATTGGGGAATATGTTGTCAAACTAATCGAGTTCTTGATTAATGTTGCGCGTGTGGCTACAGGCTGAACCCGCAACAGGACTGTTGGATCAATGGCAAGGTTGATGGAAAATGTACTTCTCTGGTCTTGCATTCATTTTGAAAAACACGGCCTACCCACTAAGACTACGTGTTGTTTGGAGTGACAACACTCAACTAATCGGCCTTTGAGAGAAAATAAATGCTCCTCACCTCGAGAGCGTAATCCTGCTGTATATTTCTTCTGAAGTTTCCAACGGCAGCACAACAGCTGTTTCTACAACACAAGTGCCGTTACTATACCGCAACGGCTGTTTCCATATCAGAGGTTCCCTTAATCCTACAACACAAGTGTGCCCTTCCACATAGTTTGACAACATAGCCTCAACAATCCGTATAATTCTTACGTTTTCAACGTGAGCTCCAAAACAAAACATGAGCTGAGTATACATAATGAGTGAGCAAATTGAAGTTATGAATGAGCATTCGGCGGTTAGCGTAAACTGAACTGCAGACTGGGCCATTGCTCGATGATAAATAAGGTTTGTAGAAATCGTAATCCCTTTGTCTTGAAGTTTGATTCATTCCTTTAAGAAATTGGAGCCCTGAATTGATCGGCCGTTGAGCAAACATCAAACAGTTCCGAGAGAAGCTTGTTTCTATTCAATACACCCTCAGCTGAAAGACTCAACACTGTCGTGTCTTTGTTCTAAACTTGAACATTTCCACACAACGGCTGCCTTCAACAAAGGCTTTGCCCTCAACAAGCATTGAATTGAATGAGCGAAAGACCATTGTCATTGCTTCACCGCCGATCACAAAGGCTACACAACAGCCAAGCTGTAAGATTCTTGGTGGGCTCAGCGGCTGCAGTATTCCCTCTCATAAAAGAGCAGCTTGGTGCTGCCTAATCGCTTCTTTCCCCCCATTACTCGCTGCCTGCTTTCTTCTCACTCACCCCCAACCCTTATCCAACCTTCCAAGACCTCAAGGTATCTTCCATCGACTTACTTGTCTGAAACCTCATATTTACTAGCTGCAGTCTCAAAAGGATCCCGAGTTCTGACCTGCTTCTTGACCGCGTTTCCTTAGCTTTATAAACTTTTCAGTTCAACTCGCTGCACAATTCAAGATGAAGGAAAATAATTCCAATGATCATATAGGCGAGGGCAGCATTCCAGCTGCTGGTGATGGTGTGCTCCCGTTGACTATCATGCACGCAGCACTATTCTAACTGTTTCTTTGCAACAAACCACTTCTTCTAGCTCTGCCCATCCCTTCCGAGACTGCTGCAGCGGACTCTGTCAGCCCAGGTATGCTAGCTTCAGTTTCTCATAATGATGTTCTTGATTCCTTCTTGACGACCTTCCTACCGCCCCTTTCTCTCTCATCTCTGCATCTGATCCAAAATAAAAGAGGCCTACGGACTCAGTCTGGAGTATCAACCCATTGACGAGAGTGAGTCTTGTCCGGCTCTCGTTGCTTTTGATGTGCACATCGCTGATCAAGTATCTATATCTACCAATAAAAATTCCAGTTCTTGCCTCGCTTCAAAACTATACCGAGGTTACTCCCAACTCCGAGGCCGCATACAGCCTCGAATTGAATGCCCTATTAGCACACGACCGTCAATGTGAGTTGGCAATAGCCTCAATACTTCCCGGAAGAGAATGCTAACGTGATGTCTGGATATCACTCAGTTGCATTTGAAAACCAAGGTGTGTTGGTTTTGAATTTGACGAATCATCAGAGCGCGATACTAATGCGATGTCATTGACTGAAGGGCTCTATCGAAACCGGGCTGGTCGAAATGGAATGGCTACATTCCGAGGTAAGTTTATTTCGATTTTTGCTAGGTCTCAAAAAGGAGAACGAGCCACTGATCTGATGCCTGACCATCCGATCCTTCCAGGCCCTACTAAACCTCTCCCACACCCGAAAGTAGCTGCGCTTCGCCGACGCGGGAAGCGCGATGGACGACGGAAAAACCGAACCCCACCCAGCGGAGTCGGAACGCCACCCAGACCCAGAGGAGGAGCCCAGGGAATTCTTGGAAGACGTGGGAGGGATGCCGCGGAAGATGCGGAAGAACAAGCCAGGCCGACGAGCAGGATGAGGCTGGCTTGAATGAAGAGAGAGTGCCAATCTCAATCATTGTGAGTCTCTTTCCTTATTTTCATAAACATGAGGATACTTCAAGTAAACTGATCACATCATGCTGATCTATTCAGGGTCAACAAAAATTATGCTATGTTTTTTTTCCATTCCTTGAATTGTATCGGAACTTATCCACTCAATTATGCCCCCCAATTCCACTTTTATCATCTTTTGTTTTTGTGTAATTTTAATCTTGTATCCCTAAAAAATGTCCGGAGCCAAGAGAGTTCTACTGGAATTCAATCCCGATAGATCGATCCAAGTAAGATAGAATGGAATCCTTTGATTCTTGGCATTAAACAAAGAACGAAAGTCTCCCCAATGGTAAGAGACATGATGTTGATTGTAGATAGATTCTACATCGGCTCTCAAGTGAAGAGACTTGCGATTGAAGCAGTCTCCAGCTGGTCACCGGTTGATATATTCTGGAGGACATTAAAACGCAGGCCCGGTTGTGATTGTTTGGTGAGCGAGCCAGTGTTCACTGGATAGTGGCCAGGGGCATCGAGTGGAAATATAGTTCTCCCTGTATAATACTCTCTTTTCTCACAGCGCGAAGAAGAGACTGACAAGTTGCGCGCGCTTCTTTTGGTTCTTGATTGGCGGGCAAGTCCTCCCGCCCCTCCAGGAGGGGCGGGTTCCCTACCGAACCTTGGGAGTTCTGTCCCTTGGGGAACTCATCTTCCAAGGGGGGCCGGATTCAACTTCTCCCTTTAAAGAGGGGCAGGGGGGTTCCCCCACTTATTTTGAAGGGGCGGGGTCTAAATGTTTGTTTTTGGGGGGGGGGGGGGGGGGTGATTATCAACGCACCATGTTTGTACCTTATTTTTCAAGTTTTTTTGTAACTTCAAAGTTGTTTCCTACATTTTAGCATTTACTGGTGAATTCCAATTTTTATAAAAATGTATGGTTCATTTTTAATATTGCAATTAGACCCATTTTTTCACTTAAATCTTTACAGCTTAATTTTCAAGAATCAAATAGACTAAGTACAAGTGTTCAAATTGTGGTAAAGAAAAATGAAAAACACAACCATATTGAATAAAGAGATGAGAGGAAGAAACATGAGTTTTGGGAGAAACAAACCGGACAAGGCTTCTCATTCTCTTTTAGACAAGCCAGATGAGTTAATCAAAAGAAAACATGTTATAAACCACAAATAATTAGAGTCATTAATTCTAAGTACTCAGTCTTTAATAGATCAAACAGTAAATCAGGAAAATAAGAATTCATTGTAGAGAGATGAGTAGTTAAGAAAAGCTGATTGCTTAAAGTTCAAATTTGACTCAGAAGGGAGCTTAAAACAACCAAAAACATTCTACTTGAAGAATAGAGTCTGGTCTGATGTAAGATGACTAGAATTGAAAGGGAGAAAGGGAAGAGGGAAAAAGGCAGATAAAAATTCAACACATTTATATTATAATTTTGGGCCTTAATAAAAAAACCCGCATTTTCCGCGTTTTGACGTGGTTTCTCCTGCGCGCAGCACACGCGCATTCCGCTTTTAAACCCGCTTTTTTAATTAATTTTTTACCGCTTATTTTTTGAGTTTTTTTGAATTTCTAAAATTGTTTCCTAGGTTTCCAAGCGCATAGAATTTAATGGTAAAAACCATTTTCAATAAAAATGAATTTTGATTATTAATTATTTTTTTTCACTCATTTCTCAATTAATTGTTTGCAAACATGTTTGTACCTTATTTTTTAGCCTTTTTTGAAATTTTAAAATTATTTCCTAGGTTTTAATGTGCATAGAATTTAATGGTGCAATCCAATTTTTTTAAAACTCTACGGTTCATTTTTAATACTGAAATTAGCCCCATTTTTTGACTTAATTTTTTACAGCTTAATTCTCATCATTTTTTGACATTTTAAATTTATTTCCAACACTTTAAGACATGTAGAAAATGATGGTATCAAATTTTTTACCCCAAAACGAAAAATACATCTTGAATACTGCATTTGACACCGCTTTTTAATTGAATTATTCGCTTTTTCACTCAATTGTTTGCGTTAGTTTTTTTACCTTATATTTTATGCTTTTTTGAAATTTTAAAGTTGTTTCCTACATTTCAAAGTGTGTCAAATTTAATGGTAACATTCAATTCCCATAAAACTCAACGGTTCATTCTGGATACTGTAATTAGTCATATTTTTCAATTGATTTTTAAGAGCTTAATTTTCATTATTTTTTGACATTTTAAATTTGTTTACTACACTTTCAAACATGTATAAAATTATGGTAACAATGAATTTTTATCAAAATGAAAACTATATCTTGAATAATGCCTTTGATGTGTTTCCTGAATTAATTCTTACACGCTCAATTATCCTTATTTTTTGGAATTTCAAGCTCATTTCCTACACTTTTAAAGGTTTCAAAATTGTTGGCTGTATCCATTTTTCATTCAAATAAAATTTGTATACGTTACAAATTGTGCAAGAAACGGGGTACACTCATGTATTAAGATTGAAGCTTGTATTTTTAGGGAAATTGGACTTCACCATTCAATTTTACACATTTTTAAATGGAGGAAATGAATTTAAAATTTCAAAAAATGATTAAAAACCAGCCAGTAACAAGCAATTAACAAAACATTAAAAAAAAAATGTCCAACGCAGTATTCAATAACATTCTTTGGTTTTTATGAAAAATGATAGTTACCATCATTTTAATCATGTCTAAAAGTGTGGGAAACAAATTTAAAATGTCAAAAAATAATGAAAATTAAGCTCTTGAAAATCAATTGAAAAATATGACTAATTACAGTATTCAGAATGAACCGTTGAGTTTTAAGAAAATTGGATGTTACCATTAAATTCTACACACTTTCAAATGTAGGAAGCAACTTCAAAACTTCAAAAAAGCATAAAAAATAAGGTACACACATGTATGCAAACAATTAAGTGAAAAAGTGATGAATTAATTAAAAAAACGGTGTCAAATGCAGCATTCAAGGTATAGTTTTCAATTTGGGGAAAAATGGTTGTTACCATAATTTTTTAAATGTCTTAAAGTGTAGGAAGAAAATTTGAAACATCAAAAAATAATGAAAATTAAGCTGTAAAAAATTAAGTCAAAAAATGGGGCTAATTTCAGTATTAAACATGAACCGTAGAGTTTTAAAAAAATTGGATTGCACCATTAAATTCTATGCACATTAAAACCTAGGAAATAATTTTAAAATTTCAAAAAAGGCTAAAAAATAAGGTACAAACATGTTTGCAAACAATTAATTGAGAAATGAGTGAAAAAAAATAATTAATAATCAAAATTCATTTTTATTGAAAATGGTTTTTACCATTAAATTCTATGCGCTTTGAAACCTAGGAAACAATTTTAAAAATTCAAAAAAACTCAAAAAATAAGCGGTAAAAAATTAATTAAAAAAGCGAGTTTAAAAGCGGAATGCGCGTGTGCTGTGCCACAGCAAAAGCGCATCGAAACGCGGAAAATGCGGGTTTTTTTATTAAGGCCCATAATTTTTTATTTTTATTTTTTGGTGGGGTAGAAAAAATAAAAAGAGCAGATAGAGAACACAGGGAGAATTTCAACAGGAATTCCTTCCAGTCAATGAGGTATAAAAACCTCATTGACCAGAAGGATTTGCTTCCAGTCAATGACACTGCCTGGATCAATTGCTTGGACAAGTTGGTCTAATGAGTCCTTGGAACAGCCCATCCAAGCAGTTCTTGGACTTGGCCCACCAACAAGATGTCGGATTTGCCTGTTCAAGCGGTTCATAGGCGGGAAAATCTGCTCAGACAGGCAAGTCCAATCTCTTGTTGGATCGTCAAGTCCAATATCTTGTTGGATAGTCACGTCCAAGAACCACTTGGACAGGCCGGTCCACCAAGTCGTTGCACCTAAGGCTGGAACCTGAATGGTGCCACCCGGGTGTTCCACCCGTGGTTGGGTGGTCGGGATGGGGCCTGGGCTCCACCCAAGCACCCGGGGGTTTTGGTAATACTACTCAGTAACACTCTTGAGGGCAAAGTGACGACGTAGTTGTACATTTTCACATTGTAGAGAGCCTTGCTTGTGCATCAAGGCTCTATTGGGGATGAGAAGTGAACAAAATTTGGATTTCTCATGTTTCCTTGTTGTTACGCAAAACAAGGCAAGGTACGATTGTGAGACTAAACAAGTGGCATTATGTATAATCAAAAGTGAGAAAAAGGAATAGTAAGGCGACTATAGTGGTTGCTTTACAGTGGAATATCAAGGAGTTGAGACCACTCCTTGAGACAAAGAAGCCGTTTGACTGTTTCTGGTTCAAGTGATGAGCGTTGCCAAGAGACAATTTGTTGTCCTTTTGTCTCGATCACATCCGTTGGGGAAGCATTAGGATTGGTGACCGTGGTTTCCGTAGAACTAGAGCCTGTTGCCAGTTGCTGATGCTGTTTTTTCTGGGAGGAGTTTCTTGCACGTTTCATTCTGGTGGCTCTCTGAGTTGCTGGTGGAATTGTAGACTGTACAAAACGTAGAGTAGACAGGAGAGGCTCTAGGGGTTGTACGACTACTCCCTCAGAGTCCCTCTTTCTCTGAAGTCAAAAAACGACTGGATCCACCCGGGTTACGGGTGATAACCCGGGTGATTTCGGATACGGGTCTCGGGATGGGCTTGACCACCCGACCAAAACCCCGGGTTCCAGCCCTAGTTGCACCAGCTTGTCCAAGCAATTTCTTTTAGGCAGTGTGAGGTTTAGAGATGTTGCTTCATACCTGGGTACCTGTAGCGGGTGCGGGTACCTGCCTCAAAAATCCAATATTTTGAACACCCGCACCCTCCAGGGCGGGTACCCAGGTACCTGCAAGTGTGGAAAAATTTCTGCATGACTTACTAAATATATGATTGATATTCACTTGATATATGAGTAAGAGTAACATAGAAATGAAGAAATAAAGAAAAACAAACTATTCTATCACTAATTTTCACTTTATCTTCTCTCTGATCTATTGTCTCAAAGGCCAGAGGGTTCCCGCTGTCCTCAACAGGCCCATGTATGACACCAAATGGTGTCCTACATGGGTTGATGAAACCTTTGTGCAGCCCAACGCACCCAAAAAAGGGAGTGTTGGACCACCAATGAAAATTTCAATTCTCATGGGAAGAATTCCCAGGGTGGGTGTAAGGTGAGTACCCGGTTACCTGCTTTTTTCCCCAAAAGTAAACACCTACACCCGCACCTGCAAACATTTGCGGGTACCTGCAAACGGGTACCAGGTACTGGGTACCTGCTGACATCTTTAGTGAGGTTTTTGTACCTCATTGGCCAGGAGGAATTCCTTCCAGTCAATGAAGTTATTATGCCTCATCAGAAAGAAGATTTCCTTCTGGTTGATGAGTTGTAACAGCTTCATTGACCAGAAGGAATTCCTTCCGGTTGATGAAGTTCTTGTACCTCATTGACCAGAAGGGGCTCCTCCTGGTCAATGGGGCATAATAACTTCATCAACTGGAAGTAATTCCTTCCAGTTGATGAGGAATAATAGCTTCATCAACTGCAAGGAATTTCTTCCAGTTGATGAGGAATAATAGCTTCATCAACCGGAAGAAATTCCTTCAAGTTGATGAGGAATAATAACTTCATCAACTGGAAGGAATTCGTTCCAGTTGATGAGGAATAATAAATTCATCAACTGGAAGGAATTACTTCCAGTTAGAGATCGTTCCGCGGTACCCTTTTCTAGGTACCTAGTACCGCTTGGGGGGTACCCTTCACACCCGCCCCGCACCCGTCGGGAGGTGCCAGGTGCGGTACTTGGTACCTATTTTTGTGAAAAATTGAACAGGTACCTAGGTACCGCTACAGGTACCCCCTCACTTCCCTACCAAAATGACAGTGGCCTTCTACTCCAAGAACTCCAAGAAGGTACCTTGGCTACATGGAAACAGGGACTCAAGGATAACAAGAAGTCTAACCAAAAATTAAAAAGGAAGGTGATAGTTTTGGACAACAATGAAGATTCTTCTAATAATCTAATTAGAGATAATTTGTAGACAGTTTAAGCTTTAAAATAAATTATTAAATGTGAACAAATGAAAAAATTGACTTAGGATTGATGTTTTACAATAAATATGAAAAAGGCAAGATTATTCCCATTAGATGTAGACACTTGACAACAAATATGAAAAAAAATGCCAAAAAAGTGACTTGAGTAATATTTTACAATAAATATGAAAATAATAATAATAATGAAGTAAGGTTCTTCCAATTAGTTTAAGATGTCTTACAACAAATATGACAAAAGGAAAAACAGTGACTTGGGAATGATATTTTCAATAAATATGAAAATATAATAACACAGTAGGATTCTTCCAATTTGTTGTCAACATTTCACAATAAATATGAAAGAATGGAAAAAAAAGTGACTTGGGACTTATATTATACAATAAATATGAAAAAAATAATAATAATAAAGTGACTTGGTAATCTGAAAGTGCACCTAGGTTAGAAAGAGAGGGGAGGTACCCGCGGTACCCGCCAAAAGTACCGCCGGTACCCGCCGGGAGGTGCCTGGTGCGGTACTTGGTACCTATTTTTTGAAAAAATTCAACAGGTACCTAGGTACCAACAGGTACCCAAGTACGAACAAACGATCTCTACTTCCAGTTGATGAGGAATAATAAATCCATCAACTGGAAGGAATTCCTTCCAGTTGATGAGGAGTAATGACTTCATCAACCGGAAGGAATTCCTTCTAGTTGATGAGGAGTAATGACTTCATCAACCGGAAGGAATTCCTTCTAGTTGATGAGGAATAATAAATTCATCAACCCAAATGAATTCCTTCTGGTTGATGAAGTTGTTGTTTCTCATCAAACGGAAGGAAATCCTTCCGGTCTGGTGGGAGCAACTTCCAAATCCCCTCAAGCATGAGGGGTGGTTTGGGGAGCCAACTCCCCAAATCAAAATCAAAACATTAAAAAATTAATAATATAAATGGATGGCTGACTCCCAAAGTTGGCCATCCAGGTGGAGGAACAACTTCCAAGCAATTTCTGTTGATTGTATTTGGGAGTCCCTTGGGAGTCTCTTTTTCCAACCCCCTATATTTTTATCCTAAAAAATTGATTTTCAATTTTGAACAACATAAAGGAGGAATTTGTTGAAACTTAAAGCCCTTCAAGCCTTTTTTAGGCTTGCAGAAACGGTGGGCAAATACTTGATGTTACAATATATGGCCCCATATATGTAAGATATCAGCCAGCTTATTAGTTTTTTTTTGTTATCATTATCTAAAAAGCAATAACATTTCAATGTATTTTGATGTGTTACAATGCAATACAGAATGTATTGACCAAAAACATCCTGTATTGGCTGTTACCAAGGGCTTTTTTACAGCCCTCAATGTTATTGCTATCAACCACCCGCAAATTCAATACACCCACAGGTGTGTAAAGTAACAAACTTTTTACTTGACAATGTGCTATCTATTAGACCAATGTTGCTTACACAACTTACAGCCATTCTCAGAACTAATGTCACATCTGGGTGGATTTTTCAATGTAAAATTGCACTTGATTTCCCAATCTCTGTCCATCCAATCACCTTTGGATGCACTAGTATCAATGCATGCTGCTTCTGCTTATGCGGCATACACACAACAATGTAGCTGATGGGATGCACACATAGGAATCACATCACATTGAGAGAGCAATGCGGGGGCCCCACATTGCATTGCTTTCATTGGATTCTTTGATACAGAGCATTGGAGTAAGGTTGCCCAGAGGTGACCAATGTAAGATTGGTATGATCAACCAATTTTATATCAATTGGGCACACCAATACATTATCCCTTTTTTTTATGTATCAGTCGGCCAAACCAATATAAAATTGGTCAAGGAGACTGATCTTACATTGTTCACCTCCAGGCAACCTTACCACAGGGGGTTGTAAGCCATACAACCCATTTTTCAGTGCTTGTGGTATTGAATTAACACTACAAGTAGCTTCTACAGGTACTTGAAGGACCTTCAAGAGATATAAGACCATGAGTGAGCCTCACTTTAACCCATAGTAATTGGTTCAAGTATGGCTTTTGGTATGCATGTCAAACAAATAAGAACCACTGCAGTACTAGAAGCTTAGCTGTTACACTTTTGAGCTCTACACATCGATAGGAGTTCAAAATTACAATAAAAATAAGTATTGGGGCATAGACCCAGCAATGGGTCTGTACTATACTTTACTATAACTGGCCCTTTTCAGTATAGTAAAGTTTCTTCAAATTTCTGTTTACTATACCAATACTATAACCAGTGTGTTTCCCACCAAGCTTGGTATAGTATAGGCCACTTTTTGTGGCTCCAAAATTGCAATATATTGTAAGGGCCTTAGCTTTATCAACCATCAAGTGAACTCCAGAGAGCCCTTCTGTGGACAAGAGACTCTCATAAGTAGCCGTAGATGTTGTTATCAGCATCCAGGGTAGTTTATAGTAGAGTAAATCACCCAAAAAAAATCCCTGTTCTCCTCAGTTATAGTAAAGGGCCCTGAAAATCAGACTATAACCACACCCTTTGTAGTAAATTTGGAAATATATATACTATAACAATACTATACCAATAACTGTAAAGTATAGAACCAGTGTTGATAGACCCTCACTGCCAAAATGATTTTATCAGATTGCTACATCTGGCATTACATCAGACAAAAATGTCTGATATTACATCAGGAAAGACTGGGATTGTATCTACCAGAATTAATATTATATCTACGTAAAATGATATTATGTCTATCATGAAAGATATGAAATCAGAACAACCCATTCAATGTCAACATACCTTAATTCATATCAGATCTTTCTATCTGATTTAATGCCCATGGGCTAAAAATTTGCATGATATGTAAAGATCTGATATGAAATCAGTTATGTTGACATTAAATAAGTTGGTCTGATGCAATATCTGTTATGATAGATATAACATAATTTTAGGCAGATATCATATCACTCCTGATAGACATGATACAAGTTTTTCCTGATGTAAAATCAGATTTTTCATCTGATGTAATGCCAGATGTGGGAATCTGATATAATCACATTTGCAGTGTCTGCTGCCAATTTTGAATTTTGGGGGTGGGGCATGGATGGCTTTTGGCATCTGAAACTGTAAGACAGAAGATGAGGTCTGAGAGCCCCATCTTCCAAGACCTGTATTTTTTGGTTATTGAGTTTTTTAAGAAGTGAGATTTGGGGGTAGAGCTGTAGGTCTTGTGTGGTACCATTTCTCATACATGATCAATTGAGTCAATATTACAAAGTGTAACCCAGGAAAAGGAATGGAAAAATAGACTTGTTTTGTATATGTATTCAGCTTGTTACTATGATTAAAATTTGAGGGTGATCAATTGCTCTGGTCATTTGCTATGGTTGATTTTCTATGCTATGCATGAATACATCAACCTAGTTCATGTTATTTCAGGCCAGGATTTTTTTAGTTTCCCTCTCATGGGTGGGGATAAGAATATGTATGTATTCCATGTTAAATCTGCATAATTAGTATGTACTCACAAACAGATCAGGCTGTTCTCCTTATCTCAACCAGAAAATTTGAAGAAGCCAGGGAAAAACATATCTGATAATTCAATCCAAAACTTTGAAGCCAAAAGAAAAGAGACCCTTGTGATTGGAGCAACTTACCATTGCCAATTAGGGTTCTCAAAGCTGAAATTGGGCCAACATACGGCTTGTACATACTCTCGTACATACACAACTACATAGTGCTTTTTCTCTTTTTTTCCATGCGCCAATCCATACCTGTGCAACAAACTCCATTCTAAATGCATACCCCCGCCTACCCCCGCAGAAAAACAGCTTATGTGCCGTATGTAGCCACATATGTATGTCAGTATGTTATAACTTTGAGAACCCTAAAAATAGGCTCACAATTGGGTTTCTACACCCCAACCCCAAAAGAATTACAGGGAAATCCAAAACAGGAAATGGAACCTGACTTGTCTATGACACTGCATAAAATGTGATAGTTGATACTCAGCATAGTTTTGTGCCCAAAATGTGCTATTCCAGCAGTAACTGCTAGCAAAGCAGGCCCTTTTTTGATATTGCTAGTGTATTGAAACCAAAGAAAGCACTTGCAGGTACACTAAATTTACACTAAAACTATTTCCTAACATTCATCTTTATTGGCCAAGGATATGCTACATCAAACCATACCAGCACTAAAAGTACCAATTTAGTCAAGATCTACTAGGTCTACACAAATGAAACTAATCTGGTGCAACGTAGATCTGGCTTGTGTCAAATTCACTCCACAAAGCTTTTCAGGAGTGATACGTTTCTAGAGTTGTACATTTGGGGGAAGATCTGGTCTAATACATATTTAGTATGTATGTATCCGTTTACAAAGTGATGATCGGCGTGATAATTCCCGCTCAATCGCGCCAAGTCGCGCTCCGGCATCGAGCGAGCTCCGCAGCATTATCTGCCATCGGTGCTTTGAAACTTGCTGGTGCTAATCCTCGGAGCTGGTCAACTGCTTGGAGCCATCGATCTACCAGCACGCTTCCTCAAGAAATCGAAAACCATGCAGATCAAGGTCAAGGTAAGTCAGACATGTCTCCTATCAGCTACCTCAAGAAATGTCAATCCCTTCCCGATCGGCTTACTAATTTCCTTAACCCTCCGATTACTACAACCTGCTCTACACATTCCCGGAATAAAATCAATTAAATTAACTACGCATCGGCACTTGAACGAAATCTAGACATTAACAGGAAAGGAGGTATGTGAGGGACCATCTTTTACAATTGATAATTTCTCACACTTACTGCTTATCTGTATTAAATTGGATTCGTCCTTACTCGTGGGGTAGATCGAATTGGATGTCGAATCTGATGATAAAGTGAGGCCCACTCAAGCTCTTAGATCCAACCTTCATCTGTAGAATCATGTTCAAGAACAATCCAGCCTTTCTCACTCAAGTCTACTATCGGTTTTCCCTTTGTGTAACGTACCTTGCCTACATCCTGGATTTTTGTTCTGTTTTTTTTTAAAAAAAAGATATCCAAGGTGAAAGATCGGATTGAAGAGAAGGAGGGGATCCCACCAAGTCAACAAAGACTGATTTTCGGCGGAAAACAAATGTAAGTGACCTTTCCCATTTCTCTCGTCCTTGCGACCAATTATTAACGCTATCCGTTTATATCCACGGTTCCTCACATATCGACTGTTTCTGAACAGGCCCGATGAAAAGACTGTCAAGGAACTGGGGATCGAAGGCGGTTCGACTTTACATCTTGTCCTTGCTCTCCGAGGAGGAAAATAGAAAGAAAATCTCAGCACACTTATATGAACAGAAATCATATCAGAAAGCTCGACACTTGATTCCCTCACTAGAGAAACCTCCCGATTTTGGATGTAGATACTATTCCTTATTGATTCTTGGATGCAAACGTACACGTCAAAGGTCACACTTCACAAAGCCTTGCTCGACTGTCCGGTCTTGATTGTTATTTGAAGTTCATATATGTCCCACAGAGATGCAAAAGGGATTGCAAGACCGGCGCGCGGGTCTCATGTTTGAAGGTCACCTAATACCTGGGCTTAGAATTTAGAGACCTCGATCATCTCAATCTTTTCTTGTGATATATTCCGCATCTTTTTTGCAATTCATACTCAGAAATCGTTTGATTTTCGCTTCGTTTCTTTATGATCAGGAGTCATTTGCAGGTAGTAAAACTCAAGTGAATGAAACTTTCCGCCAGGTCATTAGATCATTACAACGATTATCTGGCGCTACAGTAGTGCAAAATGATCCCGGAGAAGCTAGGGAATGCGAAAGCTTTCCGCGTCTCTGCCCGAGGCCATAATACCGTGTGCCCCTCTGTCGACTCAGAATTCAATTGCAAGCTTCGGAACACGCCGCGCCCAACTTAATCAAGTCCCTCCAACGGCGTTTGCGCCCCGGCCTTCGGAGGGAGTTGAGTAAGTTAGACGACACGCGCAAGCTGTTTGATGTGTTGAAACATGATCAGGGAGATGCCTGATTCTCCAAAGCAAACCAGATGTGTCTCAAGAACGAAGGGAATGTTGAACTTCCATTTACCATCATTCCGGATGAGTTTCACGCAAAGGTTACTCCTCAATAGGACCTCATGAGTGAGTGAAGCTCGCACTCGCAACTTGCTAGACAAAAGGGCAAGAACTGACGGAGCAGGACAGAACTTAAAAGGAACAAATGATGCTTACTTCACATACTGTGTATCAAGTGATCTGTGCTTGGAGATTGCCACAGATGTGTCCATAATGAAAACAGGTAAACTTTCTCTTTCTTGTCCGTAATGAAAGCAGGCTGACTTTTTCTTGTGAATGAAAGGTGTCAGTGAAGATTCCTGATCTGGCAGCGACATCCACCTTACGGGCATACTGGAGTGATAAGAAAGTTACCAGATGGAGATTAATACTGGGTGGATTAGTGAATGAAAGACGGAATCACTCACCGACTTTGTCGGTTAGACAGAAGCGCGCGTAGTCGTCAGTTTTGCAGGAACCACATCTCTGGATCAGTGTTTCTATGTACATTGCATCGAAGGAAGATGGAAACCCAGATTGGAATGTCAATTATCGAAAGCTGATAAAATGAGACGGTTAAGGCTTCAGACATCGACTCACCATTACCGCTGTCGTGGATGCATTTGAGCGTGGAGCTACCAGGGGGCAGATGGGCGCAATCAGGCGTGCCTGGTGGCGGTTTCGTCGGGCATGCTAGTTTCCGAGACACGGAGCAATGTTGTTGTCAGTGTATGGATGAGTGACTGATATAACGAGGACAACTCACTGGCTTTGTAGTTGACGCACATGGCCGGTACGTCACCATAATTGGGGCAGCTGCCACACCTCTTGATTAGGTTGCCTTGTATGAAAAGGGGTTTTTTTTTATTATCAGCTTTGTGATTCTAAAATATTGTGCGGAGAATTCAGACATTAACTCACTGTCACCGCTGTTTTTGATACACGCAAGCACAGCACTAGATGGGAACCTGGTGGAACAATCGCCGCCTAAAAGCTGGCGGGGCGCCAGTGCCGGACATGCTGCATTTCGTAAGAGAGATACTCAAGTTGATTGATCAGTGTGTCGGTCAGCGTCTAGGACGAAGGAACTCTACTTACATTGTTTATTGTTGTAACAAAGGCGCGCCGAATCATCATCTGGGCAGCTGCCACATCTACTGATCAGGTTTTCTAGCGGAGAAGCGGGATGAGAAAGACGATTTGGGGGTCAGCGGTGTGATGCTGGAGGAGCGTCACATTGGAGATCGGCTCACTATCACCGCTGTCACGAATGCACTGAAGTACAGCGCCAGGCGGGTGCAAGGAGGAACAATCCCCAAGTCGTGGGCCATGGTCCCCCGGTTGCGGGTCCTTCGACGGGCAATAGTCTTTACGCGGGAGTGAAGCTGCTGTTAGCATTTTTCAGTTTGTAAAGGAGCGGACTAGGAGGAAACAACTCACTAGTTGAAGTGGCGAGACATTGTTTGGCCGAGTAATCAGTTAAACAGGGGCCGCATCTTTTGATGAGGGCGGCTGTCATGCCGAGTGGGTGGAGCACAAGCCGTGACTGTTAGTTATTTGATGATTCGTACATGAATTGAGAATCGTCCAGATTGGCCACCGACTCACCATCACCGCTGTTACGAATACAATTCACAACAGCATCATTAGAGGGATTAGACGGCACTGAGGAGCAGTCGTTGACTGGGCAATCCCACGACCCCTTCCAATATGGGTTCTGGTTCGAAGGCTGACAGGCGGCTTTGTATAACAGAACAATGTTTTGCATTAGTTGTTTGTGAAAAAAGTGCACTCACGGGGAGTAGCTTACTTTTCGTACTGATGCACTGGATCATTGCAGTCTCATCCTTGCAACACTTGCAGAGCTGGAATGTGTCGGCTATAACGTGTCAGTAGGGAATGGAAAACAAGGATTGAGTGCGTCAATTTTCGTTTGATGCTTAAATGAGCCAGGTCTAAATTGGGGCATCAGCTCACGGTCGTTTTGTATGAGGCAGTTCTTCACCTGACCAGGCCCAACTGCGGTACAGCCACCGAGTGGCCGATTCTGCAATTGGTCTGAGGAAAAAGACGGGTTGTAGGCTAGGAGTTGTGCTGGGAGTAGGAGGGAGAGGCAGACAAGTGCTATCATCTTTAATCAAAAGCTTTTGGGTGATTTTTGCGGGATGCTGGATAATGTGGATGATTTTCAAGCGTGGACTGGAGGTTTGGGGAAGAGGCCTTTTTGTAACCTGCTTTCGCAGATACCGGCCCGAGAGACTGTTCACCGCATGGATTTAAATGCCCCATGACTGCTTCCAACAATCACGCCCTTGTCAAAAAATGGATGTGCAAAACATCTGAAGAACAGATCTGACACCCGACCGGCAGATCAGCTTGCAGCGACGGTCTCTGTCCGTGATCCGGTGGATGTGTAAGAAGGCGCGAGACATCGCGGAGGGAGAGAATCCTCGAGACAAGACGAGGAAGAAATGTGAATCGTGATTGATGGCGAGAGGCAAACAGGCGCGAAGAATTGAGGGACTTGTATAAGTGTTGAGCTTCCGTTTGACACACCATACATCATTCGTGTTTTTTAGAAATAGCAACATTGGCAAGAGCCTGGACCATAGGACATGAAAATCCAATTTCTCACAATTTATCTTGCTCAAAATTTTGTATTATCAAAATTGACCATAACTAGAAGCTAGTCTTTGGCATGAAAGTGAAGAGTTTCAACACCAAATCCCTCCAATTGATCCCAGTTTTTATGTAGAGGATGGAAAAAAATGCACATTTTTGAAAATTGAACCCCACGGTACAGGCCCTAAGTCAGTTAAGCTCACTCAAATAAACTCGCTTCGTGGGGCAATATGCTCTCCCAGAAGGAGCTCAGCAAAACGCTGCAGCCGGCGCAGCAGGGAGAGACTCAGGTCAAATGGGGAAAAATGGGTTCGTAATCCTGCTAGATACAACAAAATCACTGTAATATATACATCAGAATAGAAGCTGTCGCAGCGGAATGACTATTTCTTGATTCTTGATGCCTCGACAATCAATGGATAAACATTTATTTATTTATATAATACAAGCTGTGAAGTTTCCTACGAAATGATAAAGGTCTAGAGAGAGAAGGCAGTAAGTATGAGCAAATAATTAACGACACCAAGTTGAATTTTCCTTACTCTACAATCGACCATATCCACCACCGTGGGCAAGCGCACCGGCGGGTGCGTGAAACGGAGCGCCAGCGACGTAACCACCTGGAACTGGTCCGTGAGGAGCAATCAAAGGTCCAGGAGCAATGATAGGTCCAGGGATCGGTGCGTGGGGAACAGCCAGAGGGATGTTAGAGTATGATCCAGGGGCTGGAACATGTGGAACAACGATGGGCCCGGGTACTGGGACGCTGGGGACAACAATAGGTCTGGGAACTGGTGCGTTAGGGATGGCTAAAGGTCCGGGAATAGGGCCATGGGGAACAACAATCGGGCCGGCAAGAGGAGCATGAGGGACGATGAGGGGACCAGCAGCGTAAACACCAGGAGCGGGTCCATGGGGTGCAATGATAGATGCGGCATAGCCAATAGGCTGCGATCCGGCGGCGACACCGACGGATCTACCGACGGAACCAACGCCGGCCAGTCCTCCGTCCAAATGTCCTCCGAGTCCTCCGTCCAAATGTCCTCCGAGTCCTCCGCCAGCGTGGCCGCCGAATGCTCCGGCACCATGGCCGCCGAGCCCTCCGTCAAGATGGCCGCCCAGACCTCCTCCTAGAGCACCACGTAGAACGCCGGCTCCTCCACCCCCGGCTCCTCCGCCAAGGCCGCCGTCGAGTCCTCCACCGAAGTTGAGACCTCCACCAAGGCCACCAGCTGCTCCGCCTCCAAGCCCTCCAAGCCCACCTAGCCCACCGGCCGCACCACCGTGAAGGTCTCCACCGAAATGGAGATCACCGCCGCCAGCCGCACCGCCACCCAAACCACCGAAGAGACCTCCCCCACCTGCTCCACCACCAAAGATGTTGCCGCCGAGACCACCACCAATGTCGCCGCCTAGATGACCACCCAGGGATCCTGCGCCTCCTAATCCGCCGCCTAGGCCACCGCCTAATCCGCCACCGAGGCCGCCACCTAAGCCACCTCCGAGTTCACCCCCCAAATGGCCTCCGCCTGATCCTCCACCACCTATGCCGCCAAGAAAACCACCACCGCCTCCGCCTGACCCTCCTAAGCCACCACCAAAGAGACCGCCGAGCTGAGGAAAAAGTAAGTTAGATGTTAGGCGGAAGATGGGCAAATAGTCGATGTGAGTGTTTAAAACATTTACCATGCCCCCTGGAATAAAGCCTCCTGCTGGACCCGGGCCGTAGCCACGGCGATAGCCATAGGACTGATCGTCATTAACATAGCCCTAATTGAGAAACAGACACGTCAATCAACACAATCAAGGGCTTGAGTGACTAGGAATTTGTTTAACATACACCTCCGATTGGGACCGCCATTGTGTTTGAAGCGGAAAGGATGGTTCCGGTGACGGAAAGGACGACTGAAGTCAAATGCATGTTGTGGAAGGTAAATGAATATAAAGCCGTGTAGTAGTTCGGTCGGTGTTTGTTAAAGAAAGATAGAATATACAGTCGAATAAATAGATATATAGGACGATGGGTATCGTGTTAAAGAATGAATGTAAAGCGATATGTGCAAGTTCGAAGGTTGATGTGAGAATGAAGGGATAGGTCTAAGGTGGCCATCCTTTGCTGCTTTTATATTCCTCCCTCGTGGACTCAAGTCAAGAGATATCGGCAGCCACGTCTCTCGTAAAATCGACTGGGCAAGTTGCACATGACGAGATCGTGCTCTGCTGACGGCTGCCGATCAAACCGAACCGGGCCCAAAGCTGAGCCAGCTGGACCAACAACGAAGCGAAATAGGCATATCATTTTTCAGATGTCTGAGTGAACAGGACTATCGGAATCTAGACTCAACGGCGGGCACCCTTGGACGCTCAACGGTGGGGGGTAGCTTAGCTGCTATCGATGAGCAGGCTCTTTTCCGTAGCTCACGTCCACGATCTTTTTCACTGTTTTTCCGGCTCGTACGGTCGGCAAGGGCACCTGAGCATATCAGAGACAGCCCCGTGAGGCCTCTTTTTTTTTTTTTTTTTTTTTTTTCTTTTAGTGCTGATTGTTTTGACATTGCGCACTTAGGGTAATACATTCTATGTAGATACACTCGATGATGTTTTTGAACAATTTTTTTGAGAATACACCCGTCAGGCCTCCGAACAGCCAGCTCAAGATCAAGAAGACCTGATTCAGATCACGGTCGATATGAAGCACAAGCATTCAAGCTCAGCTCGATCCTCAGCCCCCATTCACGACCGTTCGGCCCAAGCTTCTGTGCGATCGAAGCAACCAGGGGAACGGCTCGCTCATCGGCATCCCCTAATATCATTATCCTGACTCAGGCCGCCGGCGTTGCAGTCCTGGGCTTATTTTGTGGCCGCAATATTTGCCATGAAGTACCCACGGAATGATGGGTTAGTTCATGGACATTGTGTCGGTTAGTGTGCTCAGATTTTCACTCTTTCATCGAGTGAGATTTACAAGAGTCTCCCATGACACAAACTTTCTTTTCTGTACGGATTCTTCTTTTTTCCCTTTTTTGTGTATGGATTCTTCTTGAAACGCAGTTCGAATGAGCAACAAAAAAACATCTGGAGGCCAAATTTGCCCGTTTGCGTGTCTATGTACATGAACTGTGCCATCAAGCAGACTCCCAAAAATGAGTGAGAGAAGAATTTCCAAGTACCCTGCGATCATTATGTTGCCATTGCAGCCAGTATGCCACCACACTGGATTAGTGCCAGGTCAATAACACGGTCCTTCACCCCAGGTGAATGATGGGATGAGCTTCTGGGATGCTGTTACTTCAAGCGGAAGTAGCCGTGGTTGATCAAAGTGATTGTTTATGCCGGACTGAATCTGGCAACACAAAGTACAGCATAAATCAATAATGAATACTTCAATCCCAACGTATCTGTTACGAACAGTGTAGATCAGAACAGCCATAGCACCAACGGTCAGATATTCCAGCTTTTTGGCCTTTGTTCGGCCAGCGGGTGTACTTCACTACTTACCGGGGAGGCATCACCTTCGGCAAAAGTACAAGTTGGCGATACCTTTTCATTGAAGAACATTCCTCCCCGGCAAACGGCCGGTCTGTTTGGTAGGGAGGAATCTTATCTGGTTTGGAAAAGGTACCAGGACCTTGTACTTTCTTGTTGAAAGAGACCTGTTTGAAACAAACTTACAGCTCACAACACAGTGTACTGGAAAGGATTCCTCCTGAACAACAGCCTGTCCCCGACAAGCAGCAAGAAAGGATGTTGCCGCCTTAGCGAGCATCTTGTAATAAAACTTCACTGAGCATACCCCCCATAGCATTTACCAGGAGGTATGTATGCTCTCTCCCTGGGTCTTGTAGAGCAAGCACCATGGCCTTACTCGGTGGCAAGAGGTCTTCGCCGGTAGGCGGGTATATCCCTGGTATGCATGAGGTGAGGAAGGGTGGGAATCTTTCATTGCTTGGTAACAAAGATTTACGATGTGATTATGCATTGGCTCATCACTTTTTGTTGCCAGATTCGCCGGCTGATTGTTTATTGATGGTTGCGATGGTTGCTCACCAGAAACCTAATCAAGACTCCTGGATCAAGTTCTGGATGTGTGCTTTGCCGGTGTCGGTCAACATAGTCACGTCGCAATTAGAAAATTTTGTGTGTGGGTTTTTTTTGTTTAATGTTATTTTTTTTCGGGGTTGCTGACCCATATTAATCCCCCTTCATCATAGGCGGCAGCGTTTCCATTCCTGGGTGATCACCTCCGAAGCTGAGCTGTTCCGGATCCGGTGAACTAAAGCATTCCCTCGAAGCAGCTCCGAGGATCGAATCATGCCGGATTTCCTGCTTGGCTTCATTCTTGGATTTTGGTATAAATATATTTCCCAATATCGGTGGCTCTGGCCTGGTTGATTCATCTTTCCTCAGCAGTCACAATTATCTCTATCTTCTACTCATCTGCATTCCGCCATACTTGCAGCGGAACCATTTTCCCATCTATCCGTGCCTCAGTGGATTTGCGGATTTAAAGGACACTATAACATACATAGTGAGCACTAATGCTCGTTAGCCTCGATAACCCCCGTGCCCCCGAGACTGAGAGGCTGTGTGATCCTGAGCTTGCTGGATTCGATCCTGTTGACCAAAAAAACCCAACAACAACCAACAACCCAACAACCACTACTTCGACTCAAAACAAGAGAAACACACACTAGACAACCAAGGAAGCAAGAGGAAAACTATCGATCACATGTCATCTCAACCTCAACCTCAACCCCAACCGACCCCAAACCAAGGGCAACAACCAGCAGCAACCCCACCAATCACTACAACAGTCCCACCAACTGGAGTTAATACGACCAACAGGAAGAACAGCAGAAACAACAGATCAAGAAACAATCACAGTAACAGAAACGGAAACGGAAACGGAAGAAATAAAACAAACCAATCTACTTCCTCCAACCCAAACAACAGATCACAACGACGACCACCAATCAATCCAAATCAATCCAACCAACAACACCCTCAAAATCACCAATATCAACCCAAGCCAAATAATCGCCAAGCTTCTCCCCATCTCGATCATTCAAACCCCCCTCCCAGCTCAAATCTCACTCTGAATCACTCAAAACTATTAGGCTTACAAAAACCCAGTAGAAATGATCGAAGGAAAGCGTTTGGCTCCAAACTAACGGATGAGACTCAGCAGACGGCCTCCAACCAAGAGCCGAAAAAATCGACTCCCCTCAATCCTGTCGATCTTAGCTTACTCTCGCTCTCAGCGCGATTGATTGTCGAATTATCCTCGTCAACCTACGACTGTTCGATTTGTATCTCACCCATCGGACCCTACAATCCGATCTACCATTGTCCGAAATGTTATGCGATCTTCCACCTCAACTGTTCGATCAAATGGGCATCCTGCTCGGTTGCAGACACATCTGCCAAAGCCCTCCTCCTCCGAGATCGTGATCGGATTCCCTGCTCGGAAGAGGCCCTCAAGGGCGAATGGCGCTGTCCAGGATGTCAAGATCGTCAGATTGGTCAAGCTTCGATCCCCAAAAAGTACACCTGCTGGTGCGGAAAACTTGAAAACCCCACCTCACGGAACAATCAACACCATCAAGCTGGCCGGAAAAGGTCTAAAATCCCTCACGGCTGTGGGAAGCGATGTGGCAAGGTCGCGGCCGAAGGATGTACTCACGGTTGTATGGAGGAATGTCATCCGGGTAGCTGTGCTCCTTGTCCCGCGGTCATCAAAACGAAATGCCATTGTCAAAAGACCGAACTAGCAATCCGCTGTAGCCAGCTTTATACCAATTCTACATACGCGGGACCGATGAAATCTGAACTGCTATCTTGCGGTCAGGTCTGCAATGCCCAGTTGTCGTGTGGTTTACACTCTTGCGAACAAATCTGTCACCAGGAAAAATGCGAAGAATGCACGGCCATCCGTCAGAAGTCATGTTACTGTGGACACCTCGTACTGGCTGACCAAAAATGCTCCGATCAAGTCGCTTCACACCCCTTCACTCCTCAACCCGACCCAGAGAAACTTACCTGCGTCTCCAAGGATGGGACGGAATGGCTCGGTGAATTTGCTTGCAAGGATCCTTGCGATTGGATGTATGACTGCGGTATTCACCCGTGCCAATCTACTTGCCATCCACATCTCGTCTCGACACCCCCTCCCTGTCCCTTTTCACCTGCCCTGGCCAACACCTGCCCCTGTGGTGCTACCTCATTGAGCGATCGTCAAACCTGTGCAGATCCGATCTCCACTTGTCATAATCCCTGCGGGAAAATGTTGGCCTCATGCGGACACGCTTGTCCGAAGGTTTGTCACTTAGGGCCTTGCGGACCCTGTCAATCTCTGGTGACGACTCTCTGCAACTGCGGAAAAGATAAAATCGTCCGACGATGTACCGAACTCGAAGAGCTGAAAAAATTGGCCATCCTGGAAAATGAACAGAAGATTCTGAGCGAGCGGCAAGATCCCGAGAGTGTGAAGGCTCTAGCGATCGAATATCGCTGCGAAAGGCCTTGTAGGGTGCTCAGACATTGTGGCAAACATACCTGTCATCGTCGCTGTTGCCCCCTCTCCTTCTTGGAAAATGTGTTGCAGACCGGCAGTAAAAACAAGAAATCTGAAGCGGCTCGGCATCATGAACATGAAGATACCCTCGGCTTACATGTCTGTGATTTGAAATGCAATAAGAAACTCTCTTGCGGATTGCATTCTTGTCAGTTGCAGGATCACAGAGGTCCTTGTCCAACTTGTTTACAGGCTAGTTTTGATGAATGGTTTTGTCATTGCGGGTAAGTGATCATCTCGTCTTTCAGTTTTTAACTAAACACACCCGGAGATTCTTGGGAATGTGATTGACCAACCCAATCCTCGCTTCAATCATTTTTCTCGACTCTCAACAGTGCAACCGTCATCCAACCTCCGGTACCATGTGGAACAAAGATCGACTGTCATGCGCCTTGCCAAAGACCTCCGCCCTCCTGTGGTCATCCTAAGCCCCCGCATACTTGTCATGAAGAACCCGACTGTCCTCCTTGTCCTTATCTCACTGAGAAAGCTTGCCAATGTGATAAGAAAAAGCTCGTGAAAAACGTCAGATGTTCTCAGCCTAAAGTATCCTGTGGTACCACCTGTGACAAGTAAGTGATTTTTTCGTCAAAACATCCTAGAAGATTTTAATGTGTTTAAACTTCCAAATCAACTGATTTTGTGTTCTTGTCTGCTGTTTTCTTCTCCAGCTTGTTGGCTTGTGGCGCTCATCGTTGTTCCCGTCAATGTCATTCCTTGGGTCAATGTGAATCATGTGATCGAGACTGCCTGAAGCCCAGAAAACACTGGTTAGTTTTCATTTTCGCTATTGTACGCTGGTCGCTGGGTAACTTGAGTAGCCCAAATGACCGAAATTTTTATTTGGATTTTCTTTAGTGGGCATGGCTGCCAACAGAAATGTCATGCGCCATCTGCATGTCGAACAGAAGAGCCATGTGAAGCTACAATCGAGATGCAATGTGAATGTGGCCGGATCACTCAAAAGATCAAATGTGCAAGTTGTGATAGTAGACCGGAAGGAAATCAAGGACGAGGATTAAAATGCAACGATGATTGTATCCTGGCTCAAAGAAACTTGGCGGTGGCCAATGCACTTCAAATAACCAAACCTTCATCGACTGAGAGTCAAGCGTTGGAGGATATTCAGTGGAACACTCGACTGTTAAATTTCTTTGGGACTCACGCCTCATTTGCTAAAAGGATGGAAGAGCAACTCGCCGACTTCCTGAAATCCGAGCTTAGTCCGAAGTCCACTTCAACCAAAAACTCACTCATTATCTCTCCGTTTAGTAAACTCAACCAAGCTTTTCTTCTTGAGTTCGTCACCTATTATCGAATCAAACCAGAGATCATTAGCCAAGGTTTGTAAATTTATACTTTCTTTTCATCTGTTGACTGATCCTGACCTTGCTGGAACTAACTAAACATGTAAATTTCAATTACTGTAGAACCTCAGTTTACTGTCAAACTTGTCAAAGACTCTAGCTCTTGTTTGCCAAGGATTCTGCTTTCAGAAGCTCATACAAACAATCCTGATACAAAGAGGACCTCCGTCTTCTCTGCTTCAGGAGTGTCGCTCCTCCGGAACCCCGGAAGTGCAAATGGATCTTCTTCGGGCATTGGGGCACGTGAGCTATCGGTGGCTTGCAGCCCAAACCAAATCCTGGCAATCATGTTCGAAGGTGTGTTTGGTTACGATCATCAATCATTGACCGGGTTGATCAAATCTGCTTTGGATAGCAAGAACATCGGGCGCAAAGGTAATCCGATCAAGTTTCGATTAAATTGGATCAACGACGAGGATGTCTTGTTCCGATTATCATCCTCGTCTTCATCATCTTCCAGTTTGACAACAAGAACCAAGTCGGATTTCGAAGAATTGGAAACGATCGGTAAAACTTTAGTGGTCTATTTCTCTCACTCAGAATCACTAGAGGGACGGTCAAACTCAGATCGAAAGAAGTTTTATCGATCAATCGTATTGGTCAAAGTTGATTTACTAGAAGATTACATTGATGAAGGTCCAGAAGAAAAAGGATTGAAGGTTCAGAAGATAGAACGAATCGGAAGTCCAACGGTGATCAATCCAGACAGCCATCAAGGCTGGAAATCTTCCTCTTCTTCTGCTTCGAACAAGAAACTACACTCCAAACTGTTTGATCATAGTCAGCATCCTCAGCACCATACCTCGTCGAATCGGTTCAGCTCATTACTTTCGTCTTCATCCACTTCCGTCAATCGTGCATCCGCTGCTCTTCATCCTTTTGCGTCCACGTCTACTGCTGTGGGTAGCTTTTCTTCTGGCGTCATTTCTGGCGGGTTCAATAGACGTATGTTGTTTTTTCTCATCTTATCACATCCTCCCCCCTCCCCCCTTCTTACAAAACAAATGCAACTGAGATTGACAATCAACTCTCATTCATCGTCTCATTATGTAGCTCCGATTGCGGTGCTTGCGCCGAGTTCCTCAACTAGTCATCCTATTGGAGCTCGTAGTAATAGTAAACAGAAACTTCACAAAGAAGAAGATGTTGTTGATGATTGGGAAACCGCAGTTTGATTTTTTGGTTTTTTGAAACTGTGCATACATTTATTTCTCCCCTACTCTTTCTCGTGATTTGTTCATTCTCTGCAGCCGGTGACCCCGGTGGCGTGATCTGCTGCAGGCTGTGTTTGTAATATAGTGTTTGGACAAGATGTTAACCCTGCTGGCTGGTCGAAGCGCTTTACCCTTCGAAAAAAAAAGAGCAGGGTAAATAATATAAATGTCCCCATCCAGCCTAGTTTGACAGCTATAGTATATCAGCATCTCATAATATCCTGGTGGGATGAGATAATTCGCCTCAAAATGTAGGAGTTGTGAAAATCTGCTGGATTCATATCCTTGCTTTTGTGACTACACTACGGGGGTGCTTTTAAGGTTTTGCTCTGAAAGACTTTCGAAACGTGAAGTTCGAAGCAGCTTTCGTAACACTTTTGAAATATTTTAAGAAGTTCCGCAAAAAATATCGAAACAATTTCGATATTTTGTGTTTAAGGTTTTGGTCTGACACATTTCCGGTTTTTATGCGGATTGTCCCGGATCAAAACCTTAAAAGCAAGTTTCGAAGCTGTCTTCGAAAGACATTTCGATATAAGTTGGCATCTTTCGAAAACAATTCCGAAAGGTGTTCGAAAGGGAAAGGTCTCGACCAACCGGTCTTCAGGTTAAAAGGACAACCTCTCCTGGCTCCCCTTCCACCTCCGCCAAACCTCTCATCCATCTCCTCTGCATCATTTGACTCCTCCTCCTGTTCTTCTTTAGCAGAGTATCCCCTCGATCACCTCACCAAGATTCAAAAAAATGTCCGTTGCTTGATTTCTCATTCCTCGTTGTCCTCTCTGCTACCTTCACACAAACCCCTCAAGTACTACTGCTGTTTGCTCGAGCTCAGTCCAACGTACCTGCCGAATTTGATCAATCATCTACAACTGCTAGCTGTTATTGCTCTGTTGCTTACAGCGCCACTTGTGAAAACACACCCATCCGCTAACTTATCATGTTTTAGTTGCCTTGTATTTTTCTGCTTCTCTTCTTTTTCTCTATTCAGACCCCTCATTACTCTTTTCTTATCCTTTCTTTCATTTCATTCCAATCGATTGATTGATCATAGTGAAATGTTGATGGGATTTTTTTTCTTTTTCTTTTGTATGGAGTTGTTATTTCTTTTCTCTATTATACATCACAGAAATACAAAATCATGAACCTCACAGATACATGATTGAGAATGAAAGATGAGTACAATGTCCCAATAGAACGGGACAACCCTTATAAGAGACAAGGGTGCCGATCCAAAAGCCAGCCGAGAGTGCCACTGCAGGACTATAACAGTTCGGAAAAGGTTTCAAAACCTCCCAGTTATTACGGGAGTCTTTCGAAACTCTTTCGGAATAATTCCGAAGTAGCCCTTCGGAGTCGATTTCGAAAGCATGGGGTTTCGTAAGTACTTCGAAAAAATTTCGAAAAGGTATCGGACGGTCTTCGAAAGACCATCGGAATGCCTTTCGCAGCGCATTGCGAAATGTACCTGGACCAAGGTCCAGGACGTCCCCCCTGCGGGCGCATGTTTCAAAACATTTCCAAATAAACTTCGGAAATGTTTCGAAACCAAGCACCCGTAGTGTATCTATCGTGCTGGAACGTTGGATGTCGTTATGGCAGACTTTCCCTGTCAAGTAATGCGGGTCGTGGCAAAATTTCAATGCAGGTTGTCACGCGATATATGGATAAGCAGATGTTGAAAGAGATTATCGACTTTTCAAGCATCACTGGGAACTCAAAGTCCTGTTTTGTGAGGCTTGACAAAGATCCCACTGTCATAGAGTAGGAAAGATTTAAAGATTTTGCTTGTCAAGAGGAATTGGATTTTCAGATTTTGAGCCGCTCGTTTTCATGAAACAAGAGGAAACACAACAAGGAAAGATAGTGAAGATGAAAACAGCAGAGCGATTGAAGCCGTCTACGATTTATTTCATGAATTTTCGGAATAAACAAACAAGTATTGAGCATCAAAGCCGATTGATGTCGATGGTGGTATCCAACAACTTACCTGAATTTGAAAGGTGAGATGTTTCAACAAGTTTGGCTGCAGCAGGAGCGACTTGATCGGCAACAGGAGCAAATCAGTCAAATCATTCGGCAACAGGAGCAAATCATTCGGCAGCCGGATACCGACATATGGCCAAGAAGTCAAGGAACAACTACTTTGGCTCCATGACCGGCTCGATCCTCGCTTGGCACTTAAGCGACTGGAGCACACAGGGGCACAACTTGTGCCCAAATAGCCTTGCTGGACAAGGCCAACAGTGAACCCACTTTTTTCTTCTTTTTTTCTTGCATGTATGTATACCTTGTTCTGTCCATTTAATAAAATTAAAGAGATTCTAAAAAACGGTACGATCAGTCGTTCCCCATCCGCGGCAGATTTACAGTCAGAGCATCTCCAACGGTCCTGCTGATGCGGGACCTGGGACCGACTTCAGCGGGCCGCGAGGCTCTTTTGGTCGCTAGTGGAGCTGCCGAGCGAGCTGCTGAACATTGCGGGGGTGGACCAAAGCTGCCCTCGGCTGCTGAGTTTGGCAGCTTTGGCCGCGTTTCACCCACCCCCGCTCAACTTCACAGTCCGCATTTAGGACAACTGTGACAAGCCGGTGACACCTCGGGACATCTGACTCCAGGCCGCCAAAGGCGAGCCGATCCACCCCCAGACCGTTAGAGATGCTCTCAGGCTGGCAATTATCTGTTGTAACCCGGCAAGGGGTTACAGGGGTCTCTCACCTAACCCCCTTTAGAGCATGTATATAAACCTTTAGTCTATCTACATGCAATACATAGAGACACTTGTGTCCTTTCTCCGTCTCAGTTTCCATCATTATCTACCCTTAAAAGCTATAATTCGGCCGTCATAAAATATTTGAAATTTGCTGAAGCATTGTTTTTGCCAGCCCCCCCCCCTTCCAGTGACCCATCATGTCACCCCCCCCCCCCTTGAAGATTTTTTAACACCCCCATCAGATTTTTTAACCCCCCTGTCAGTTTTTGGCAAAAAGAATTCCAAAGAATCAAATCTCTCAAAAAGAAAAAGCTGATTATAGTTAATAATTATTAAGTTCCTCCCACTACATACTGTGTGCAATGGCAAATATTTCTTGATTTTTTTTTTTTTTTTTTTCAAAGCCCAAGTTGATAGCAGGAATGACAAGCTGTAAAGAAAGTTTGGCTATGTGCTTCTTGGCAGGAAAAAATGGTACAGACCAAAAAATATACAAAATTCTAGCCTCCAGCCAAAAAAAATGTTAGGCACAAAAATTGTATGAAATTTTTGGCTGACCTCTGAGCCTAGGCACAAAACGTGTATGAATGAGTCCCAAAAATGTATGAATTTTCTGAAAATCTGGGATTTTAGCTTACTGACATCTACAGAGGGTTTCCTGGGTCCTTAAGCGCCCCAAGAAATTGCCAATAATGCTTTGGCACATGATACATTTGTGGAAGGAACTTTTCGGCAGATCACAGTTTGACAAAGCGGTCCTAGACACGTGTATTGTCACCTTTTGGGGTCTGGCTTGACTGTCCAAATTCTCTTATGACTCAGAACTGGGGCCAGTTAGCTTTGTGTCATTGGTTCTAACCTCTGATGTAGTGTTCACCGGCCGAGAAAACAAGGGGCCAGTGGCTTTGATCACCATCAGGAACACAAAAACGGGTGGTCCCAGGATCCCACAGTTCATCATTTTGAGAGAACAATATCACGTCCTTTGCCCCATTCTGTTATGAGCTGTGGAGGACTGGAACTGGGGACGTTACATATGTAGAGAGCCTGTTACGTACATGTCACAAACTTTCAACTTGGAGTTTGTTCGAGATCCACACCTTGTACAGTCTCCTCCCAGATGTTTATAGCCATCTGTTTTGAGCTCCACACTGGCAACCCAAAAATTTCAAGTCACAAGAGTTGGTGGAATGGTGGAAAATGGGTCTAAAAGAATGAATATGAAAAATAATCATGATAAACAAGATTATGAAATTTGTAAAACAGCAAAAATGAGAAAATCACAAAAACTGACAGCTCTGATATTTCTTTCAGGAAAAGATGAAATCTCCGAATTGATGGTATGAGATCTGGAATGAATAATAAGAAGTGAAAATTTGGAAAAAAAATGACTACTTTGTGGTTTAAAAAGGGTGTCTAGGGGGTCATTCATCAAGAAATGTGGCATTCTGGTACTGCAATCTACTGATTTTGACTGCAGGGTGTCCACCTACCATGCTCAAAGTTTTTTTAGATCAATATTTTTCATTTATAATCATTCTTTTCATATTCCAAACTTACACTCTGTGTGTTCAATTTTCACTCAAACAAAAAATTAAAGTTTTCAAGAAAAAAAAAGTTGATTTTCTTTCATCTTTTTCACAAACTTTGAAATCTTGATTTTTATTATTATTATTTCATATTCATTCTTTGAAACCCATTTTCCACCATTTCACAAACTTTTGTGACTCAAAGGTTTTGGGTTCCCACTGTGGAGCTCAAAACAGATGGCTATAAACATCTGGGAGGAGACTGTACATTCCTCATCTTGCCATCTACCATCAAGAACCAGAACCCAGAAGATCCCTCCTGCTCTCCCCAGAACATCCCTAACACATTCTAGCGCTGAAGCAGAGGTTCTTGTCGACTTGTGGCAGGACAACATCCCTTTTTGGGTATACGGTTGACGGAGTACGCCATCACGTCAACAGGAGGAAGGGGTCCTGGCGGCTGGGGGCTATACTGGCCTACACGGCCACTCTTTTTGAGTCGGTGGCGCTTCCTTTAGGCTAGCTCGAGGGATGTCTACCAAAGATTTGTGCTCCTTGGGGAGGTGGAAGTCCACTTGTTACATCCAAGAATACAACATCAAAACTAAAGAAAAGAGTCTTGTGTTGCTTAAGACCATGAAAAGTAACTTGAATAAAATAGGTTTGTAATCTTTGCAATCATACTTATTCGAGTGGAGTTTGGGCGCTCTTGCTTATGGCTCAGGCTCCTACTCTGTGAATCCTAAGATTGTGGGCTTTGAGACCGAGTCCACCCTCTCTGCCTATTTTTCTGCATACTGTAAAACCCCTCCTCTGTTGGTTTTCACAAGGAGTGTCACAGACTAAGATTCCCGTTGTAGGACTCCTGGGACGGATAGACACGGTAAAGTATATGTATATCAAAAGATCCCTTGAGGGGGAAATAAATTGCAAATAGGTTGAAAGGCTATTACAACTTACGGGTGGTTTGAAAGACCTGCCCCTCTAAATGTACTAAACAAATAACTAAGAGTCTTGTAATCAATATTTAATAATGTATGGCTGATTCCAAGATAGATCTTACTTTCGTAAAGTAATCTCTATCAGACCTAGATCATGTATCAATCTACTAATGAATCTGTTACAACTTCAGGTTAATAATGGAAACTGTGGTGCTGATGACTTGAGCACGAAACAGATGAGTTGTTATAGAGTTTGTTAATGATCTCTTCCTCGAACAATTTCTTGCTAAGGCACTTTAATAAAAAAACTAGAGCTCCGGTACTAATACTACTACTACTTGTTATTGGTTAATTGTTAATGTACTACTACTTATATGATGACTACTACTACTAATATGCTTCAAATTCCGAACTCTGTGTCGGTTTGACGCTTACAATACTGTACTAATTCACTACTTATCACTAACTCACTCACTTACTAACTTATTCTTCAACTTGGGTGATCGAACTTACTTCCGTAGGTTGATGTACTAACTTCACTAACTAACTAACTATCACTAACTCTAACTCTTCACTTTACTGACACTCCAGAACACTTCCAGTAGCTCAGGATCAACTTACTGCTCTGCGAGACTTCTGTAGGCTGATGGGGATAAGACACTTTCTGGTGGAGAGAGGTCCCTCTTTTATATTGAAGAGTGAGGGATTTCTGCTGCAGGGGACTCCTTGTGAGGGAATATTGCTGCAGGGGATCTCACCTGCACAGCCTTTGCGCACAGCTTCCAAACAAATAGCGCAGCTTATGCTGTGCTAGGAACACTTAACTCCAGACCTTGTCACATAATATGCATGCAAGGGAGCACACAAGCGCAGCATGATGCCATGCATTGCCAGGCAACCAAGCCATCTTCCAGAACCAAGCGCAGCATGATGTCATGTGTCGCCAGGTAACCAAGCCATCTTCCAGAAAACTCTGCATAGGCAGTACCAGCCTGCCAGACCTGCTGTTATCTCCTTCCACCCAGGATTTGGGGGTCAAAGCCTCTCCTCACTCCTTCCTTCCTCCCTCCGCCTCAATATTTTCCTCCCTTCACTTTCTACAATCCGTACCCTGTACCCTTATGTAAAACATAAAGTACCCTTATTACACACCGCTCCTCCGTTCCATTCCTGGTTGAGACATGTTCTCCCACTCCTCTCCACGTATATACTTCCGCTCCTCCGTTCCATTCCTGGTTGAGATATGATTTCCCACTCCAATCCTCGTATGCACACCGCTCCTTTGTTCCATTCCTGGTTGAGACTTGTTCTCCCAATCCACTCATTGTATGTAATCCTGTCCGTATATACCACACCTCATCCATAATGATTGTTCCTTCTCTTGTAATGATTGTCACATGTATGTACCTATGCTATCCCAACACCTCTGCTGTATGCTTTTGGCATTGGAACAGGCACAGCACACCACACCGTGTAGTTACAATCATTCTTGTTTGAGATCCTAGCCTGGCTCCACAGAGAACTGATCCCTTATCTCTCTGAGCCAGTGAAATAAAAGCTCCCCCTCTGTTTGATCTTAGAAACTCTTGACTACGTTTCCTGTCCCTACGAGCTTTTCCATCAAGAACAGTGAAGGGATTCTCAACCCTTACACATACCCATGCTTCTACTGAGGCTTTTCTAGGTCAAAGGGTAAGAAAAGGAAGGTTCAAGCCCCTACTTTCTCCCTTTTTTCCCGCATGAGTGCAGAAACTGGGCACAAGGGGTGTACCTCCGCCTTGTCTCAGCTATGCACTCATACCTGGAAGAGTCTTGATGGAGAATGGATGTGAGGTGAAGGGGGCAAAGACAAGTCCCCGCCGTCCATGGCCACCAAGGCAGAGAGCTGGGCCTGACCGCCCTGTCAAACGTTGACTGGGACCGTGCTCCCTCTTTGCAGCTGCAGTCACCCGTGGAGAGTGGCGGTTAAGAAGGGGATTTGCTCAGCAAGTCCCTTCTCCCACCACGTTTTGCTAGAATTCACAGCTCTATGTGAAGTGCCAGTTTTCATCTATCAAGAGAAATTCTTTCCAAAATCCTCCCACCCACCCTTGCTTTGGGCTTTGAGACCGAGTCCACCCTCTCTGCCTATTTTTCTGCATACCCACGCTTCTACTGAGGCTTTCCTAGGTCAAAGGTGGTATAAGTTGGATATACCACCCGAGTTCCCAATTTACCAACTTGAGTTCTGCCATGTGCACCACCGCAAAGTGGTAAACCAGAGCTAAACATTCATGAAAGGTCAATCCCCGGTGCCATTCATCACCCCCGAGTGTAAATCCTAGCAAGCTGTTTTACTCATTTTTGTTTCCTATCGCCATTCCAGATGAACATAGATTTCAATGAAGACCTCGACTTCGACGCGCACCTACAGGTGGTACTTCAAACCCAGCGGATGCCATTTTCAAACGGATTCAATCAAAGAATGACTGTTATAAACTCAACAAACCTTCTTTTCAGTTTCTTAAGAAGAAGGGAGGACAAAGAACCTCCAGTTCACGGTGGATCCAGACCAGGCCGCATGCCCAACTTGCCACGAGACTTTGAGGCAGGCTACGACCGACTGTTCCGCGACTACTTTGCTGAAAATCCTGTCTATCCGGATCACATTTTTCGAAGGCAATTCTGGATGCGATGGTCGCTTTTCCTGTGCATTACTGAAGATGTACAAGAACACAATGACTACTTTTTGCAGAAGGCCGACACCTTGGGGAAACCAGGATTACGACCACTACAAAGAATTGCATCTGCCGTGTGAATGCTTGCCTATGGCGGTGCTTCCAACTTGAACAATGAATACCTCCGCCTAGGTGAATCAACTTTGAATGAAATCCTTATCAAGTTTTGCCGGGCAGTCATTGATATCTATGGAGCTGAAGATACTCGCTAACCCAACACGTAGGATTTGACTCAACTCCTTGCAATTGGAGAGAAAAGGGGATTTCCAGGGATGGTTGGATCCCTGGATTGTATGCATTGGGAATGGAAAAATTGCCCATCCAGTTGGGCTGGGAAATTTCAAGGCAAAGAGAAGGTAAATCAAATTAAATCACTCCCAGTCTTGCCTATATTCTGATCTGTTGGAATTTTGTCTGCTTCTCCTCATCCCTAAAAAATCTATCTATCTCAACTTTCTGATTTAATAATGTTTAGATGAAAAAAAATTATTAATTTTACCATGTCTTGTAAGTTTCTGAGTGGCACCTTTTCTCATTGTCTAGTGCTGCAATCCCTGTAGTCTTTGAACCTGGGTCTAGTCTTTATCATTGAGTATTTGCTCCTGTCATCTTTTCATGCATGTGTTAAATTTTTATTCATTTCTATATTCATTTTACTCTCACCCACATGTTTAACCTCTTGTACAGCAGTTCCCAGAAAGCTTGCGTTCGCGAGCTCCTGGGGTCCCAACTTTTTTATTTATTTTTGCCACACTTTTATGCGCCTCGGAACCTGTACACATGACTGTACAGGTTGCAAATCTGCTGCCGAGGCCTCGATGGGGCTTCGGGTACCGGGCTGTTGCCTGGCAAGGGCTGGCGAGGTGTCGATGTGATGACCGCTTCTGACTCAAAAAACTCCCAGGATTCCAACGGTCCAACTCTCAAATCTTCAACTTGGAAAATGTGGGAGTTGGGCCGTAATGCCTAGAATACTTTGGCTGTATGAGCCAACGTACAGGACAAAAAATAAAAGAAAAAGTGTGGCTCAAAAAAAAAAAACCTGGATCCCAGGGGCTCGCGACAGCAAGCTTTCTGGGAACTGCTGTATGTAGACTACTTAGTGCCTAGTCTCCTCTAAGTAAAACATCATCGGTTCTCTCCTTCATTTTGTGACCCTTTGAGCTGTTCCAACAAAAATCAATTTTGTTGCCCAAAAATTTTTCCTCAAACATTTTCCCTCACATCTTCCCTGACATGATTTCCCAGATGGGAAATGTTGTAAATTTTAGGGAAATCCTGTAAAAAAAATTAAAGACTTTTCTAATTTTTTTGGATTTTCCAGATTTTTTAGATTTTTTCAGATTTTTTACATATTTCTAGATTTTCTAGATTTTTCTAATTTTTTTAGATTTTTCCAGATTTTTTTACTAAGAGACATCTATAAAGGTGAAAAATCTGAGAAAATCTGATTTTTTTTAAAAAATCTGGAAAAATTAGAAAAATCTAGAATTAAAATCTCAAGAATCTGAAAAAATCTAAAAAAACTGAAAAAATCTAAAAAAAACTGGAAAAATCTAAAAAATCTAGAAAAATCTAAAAAATCTAGAAAAATCTAAAAATTCTGAAAAAAATCTAAAACATCTGGAAAAATCTAAAAAATTTAGAGAATCTAAAAAATCTGGAAAAATCTTAATTTTTTTACAGGATTTCCCTAAAATTTACAAGATTTCCCATCTGGGAAATCATGTCAGGGATGATGTGCCTTCTCCGGTCTTAATTTCTTCATGATCTAGATCCCATCACCCAGGTACCTACAATTGTCTTGGAGGTAGTGGCTTCTCAAGATTTTTGGATATGGCATGCGTATTTTGGATTGCCAGGCTCCAACAACGACATCAATGTTTTGGATACATCACCCCTCTTCAAAAGCCTCCTCAATGGTGAGGCTCCACAATGCCAGTTTGTTGTAAATGGCAACACTTAAAGTTACAGGCATGTCTATTATCTTGCCGATGGAATTTACCCTGACTGGGAAACCTTGGTCAAGACAATCTCGCGCCCCAAGGACTCAAGAGAAAATACTTTGCAAAGGTTCAAGAGGCTTGCTGCAAAGATGTTGAAAGAGCTTTTGGGTTTCTTCAAGCTTGTTTTGCAATCGTGTCACGGCCAGCTCGAGGATGGCGGCATGAAAATCTACAGCTCATTATGAAGGCATGTGTCATCCTCCACAACATGATTGTGGAGGATGAGCAAACATTAAATGTAGAAAACTTTTACAATACTTCAGCTACCGTCTCAGAGGTCAACTTGGAGCAATCGGACGCTAGGACCAATTTCTTGGTGTTCATTTCTAATTTTTGCTCCCTACAAAGCCAGGCGACTCACATCACACTGCAGAACAATCTCATCAAGCACCTTTGGGCCATGAGAGGAAGATCAGAGGATGAATAGATTTTTTTAGGGACTCGGAAAAACGACTCCCATTTTTTTGCCAACGACTCCCAACGACCGTCAGCGGACGTCCATTGGGAGTCGTCTTCTAAAGTGTGAGCAAATTATGGGAGTCGACCACCCAATTTCATTTTATTTTTTTTATTATTTTTTTTGGGAGTCGACTCCCCAAACCACCCCTCATGTATGAGTGGGTTTGGGAGTCGCTCCCTCCCACTTGACCGGAAGGAACCCCTTCCGGTCAATGAGGTGTAGCTTCCTCATCGACCGGAGGAGAGTCCTTCCGGTCAATGAAGCCCTCGCTGCGAACCCCCCAACCTCATCGACTGGAAGGGATTCCTTCCTGTCAATGAGGTATAGCTTCCTCATCGATTGGAAGGGATTCCTTCCAGTCGATGAGGAGGCTAAACCTCATCGACAGGAAGGAATCCCTTCCGGTTGATGAGGTATAGCTTCCTCATCAACCGGAAGGACTCTCCTTTGGTCAATGAGGAAGCTAAACCTCATCAACCGGAAGGAATTCCTTCCGGTTGATGAGTTCAATCTTCCTCATCAACCGGAAGGGATCCCTTCCGGTTGATGAGGGATATCTTCCTCATCGACCGGAAGGAATCCCTTCCGGTCCTTCCGCTCAATGAGGTTTAGCTTCCTCACTGACCGGAAGGGGTTCCTTCCGGTCAAGTGGGAGCGACTCCCAAACCCCCTCATACATGAGGGGTGGTTTGGGGAGTCGACTCCCCCCCCCCAAAAAAAATAATAAAAAATAAAAAATGAAAATGAAATTGGGCGGACGACTCCCAAAATCCGCCCAAACTTCAGAAGGCGACTCCCAACGGACGTCTGCTGACGGTCGTTGGGAGTCGTTGGCAAAAAAAAGGGAGTCGTTTTTCCGAGTCCCTTTTTTTATTCTTCATTTTCAATTTCATTGATGTAATCAATGCATACATAGATAATAAAAAAAACAATGATGTCTGAGTGGAAGCCACAAGCATGTGAAAGAGATCTTTGAGAGAAATTTGACAGCAATTGACAAAGAAAAATAAAAAGCTTGAAAAAACCTCAGATCGAGCACTGAGGTATATCAATTGAGGTGGTTGTGGGTTGAGTATTGGTAGCAAAAGTTGTTGCTTGAGTACTATCAGAGATTTTGGTCGAGGTGGTGGTTGCTTAAGTGTTGCTTGAGGAGAGCATCAACTCAATCGGAGTGCTGCAGCTCGCTTGAGTTGATGGTACTCTAGCTTGTTTGGCTGCAGCTCTTGATCGTTTGCAGAGCTTGAGCATGATCTGCTCTCTTTGAAGTCGGTAGAACTCCTGAGTCACCTCATTGAGTCCACTGATGTCTTTATTCATGATGGCTGCATTGTTTTAGTCTGGCTTTGATATATGTTGTTCTGGCACTTGGATTGACTTGCGATCTCGGCTTGCACGGTTGCCATGTCCTTCATTATCCGTGCCCCCGTAGCCACGTCTCTCAGAATCGCTTTTGCCCTTTCCCCCCCCCCCCTGGTTGTTCTGGCTTGGGTCGATTGGGAGTTTCACTTGGAGTCTTGGTGTCCAAAGCTTGTTCAGAGGTCAAGGGGGGTGCTTCACTGCTTGGGCTTCTTGCTCGCTTTTTATTCTTCTTGGGGCCTTTGACGGTCTTTGTGTGCATATCTTGAAAATAATCGGACCATTTTGGAGAAGAGGTGAGGATATTGTAGCACTGAAGGAAGCCAAACGTCTTTCCTTGAAGCTTGGAAAAACAAGCAAGAGCCTTCCTCAATTGATCCTCAGAAGTGGCACCACTGGGATTCAACTGATCAATGTGTTTGACGCAACCGGCGAATTTGCTGACCCCATGAGAGATAAGTTGCCAGCGACCCTTGAGACTTCCAATTGGTTGAGGCGGCTGAGGAATTGAATTGTGGTAGCATTTAGATATGTGATCCCAGAATCAAGTACCGGCTTGATCGGTCCCAACGCTTGGATCCTCAGAGACCTCAACCCAGGAGGAGCTTAGCTGAGCATCCTCATGATCTTGATAGGTGGGTCCCTTCTTTCACTTTTCTTTCTTTTCCCCTTTGGTGTTTGTTTGGTCTGGATCAAAAAGAAAAAAAGAAATAAGCAACATAGATTTGAACAAAAGCGCATAAATTGTACAGTCTCCTCCCAGATGTTTATAGCCATCTGCTTTGAGCTCCACAGGCGGGAACCCAAAAACATCAAGTCACAAGATTTGGTGGAATGGTGGAAAAAAGGTTTCAAAGAATGAATATGAAAAAATAATAATAGAAAACAAGATTTTAAAATCTGTGAAAAATATAAAAGAAAATCAACTTTTTTTGTTTGAGTGAAAACTGAACACACAGAGGGCAAGTTTGGAACATGAAAAGAATGATTATAAATGAAAAATATTGATCCCAAAAAAGTTTGAGCATGGTGGGCGGACACCCTGCAGTCAAAATTAGTAGATTGCAGTACCAGAATGCCACATTTCTTGATGAATGATCCCCTAGACACCCTTTTTAAACCACCAAGTAGTCATTTTTTTCCAAATTTTCACTTCTTATTATTCATTCCAAATCTCATACTATCACTTTGGAGATTTCATCTTTTCCTGAAAGAAATATTAGAGCTGTCAGTTTTTGTGATTTTCCCCTTTTTACTTTTTACAAATTTTATAATCTTGTTTATCATTATTGTTTTTTCATATTCATTCTTTGAGACCCATTTTCCACCATTCCACCAACTATTGTGACTTGAAATCTTTGGGTTCCCGGTGTGGAGCTCAAAACAGATGGCTATAAACATCTGGGAGGAGACTGTACATACCTTCAGTTTCATCAATGACCAAGAGAGGATCCAATGCAGGAGTAGGCGTAGTACTAGTCGCCATCGGCGTGTTGTTGGTAGTCGAAGGATTCTTGTACATTCACTACCAACCAAGAGTTGGAGATATTGGGGGTGGAAGGGTTGTTGAGGATTGGGGTTTCATGAGATGGAGCGAGGATATCACGGATCCCCCAGTGGTATCAAGGGAGGTACCGGGGTGGTAGATCTACCACCTCGGTACATTCTTTGGTCTGAAAATGTAGCTTACCTCCCCGTATACCACCCGCGGTGGCGGGGTGTTTTGGGAATTGGGGTGGTAAACGGGGCGTACAACCCGGATTTACCACCCGCGTTGGAGATGCTCTAATTACCTGTTATTTTTTTGAGAAGCTGGGTAGCAAACTTGGTGTTTTGTTCGGTCAGGTGTGGCCATCCTTGCCTGCCTTTATATTCCTCCCTCGAGTCAAGTTAAAGAGAAGCCACGTCTCTCCTAAAACAGCCCAGGTAAAGATGGCCCCATGGGACCCGGGTACTGACTGCTTTTTTCGGCCAAAACAGACACCGGGTACCACACCTGCTCAAGTATGACAGGTACCGGCGGTACTCCTGGCGGGTACTGCCTGGCTACCAGAGGTTCTTCCAGGCAACCTGGTTGAGACCAATCAGGTCGCCAAGGAGGGCCCTTACCAGCGACCTGATTGGTCTTGATCAGGTTGCCGAGGAGGGGTCCTCTCCAGCAACCTGGACAAGACCAGTTAGTCTCGGTCAAGCCACCAAGGAGGGGGTTTGGGGGCGGGTACCCTTAAAGGTACCAGGGTACCGCCTGATTTTTTGCCCAAAAGCAGGCACTGAGTACCACACCCGGCACCACTTGGCGGGTACCTGCAGGGGTAGGGGGGTGCCGGGTACCCCAAGGCCATCTCTACGCCAAGGCAAGTTGCACATGACGAGTCCAAGCTCTGCTAACAACTGCCAATCAAACCAATCCAGGCCCAAAGCTGAGCCAGCTTAGACCAACAACAAAGACCTGATTTAGATCACGGTTGATATGAAGAACAACCCTTCAAGCTCAGCTTGATCCTCACGGCTGCCAATCACAACCGTCCAGCATGGATTTTGTGATGGAAGCAACAGAATCGGCAAAAAAACACCTGTCTGCCAGTGCCATCAGGCAGAGTTCTGAAAATGACTGGCAGAAAAACTGTCGAGCTGCCTGAGGTGTGTCTGAGTATACACTGCTTATCATCATGAAGCATGATTGCAATACTCAACACACATTGGATTTGTATCAGGCCAATAACCTCCTGGAAACGGTCCGCCACTCCAGGTCCATAATAGAATGGGCTTCCTTATGTTTCTGGTCCTCTGGCCGTTCCTGGACCGCCTTACACCCCAGGTCCCATTGTCGTTCCTCATGCACCAGCCGGTGCACTTAAAGAACTGAGGTTTCCAACCAAAGTGTTAGGGCACAAACACCGTGAACTAACAAGAGAGCAAAGACAAAGCGAACCTAGAAATGAAATGTGATGAGACAAACTGAGAAACAAGAGAAAGAGAAAAAGAAAAAGAGACAGATGAGAAAGAACAACAGACCTGTGGCAAGGGAGCAGAATGAAGAGATACACAAGTGAGACAAGGAACAAGAAAGAAGATCAAATGAGGAAAAGAGAGAAACAACATGACAGCATGATGAACAGACTTGAACTAAATTTGATACAACTCAATCTAGGTTTCAAACCTTGTCCATCTCACTATTCCTTTCTGCTTTGCAGCGCCGCAGCGGGATGAGAATGAATCCCCGAACTGCAAGTTCAACAGCACTTCCTCATGGCGGTGGGTGTGGTAGATACTAAGCAAATGGTGAGTGCTACCTACTCTTAATCTGAAGAATATTACTTTTTTCATTGTGCTTACTCTGTCATCTCCCTGTTTGATCAATCTTGATCTAGTTCTTTATCTTATTTTGTAGGAGACTTTGCAGCCTGTATCATAGGAGTATTTTTATCCCAACAAAGGACAACAAATATTTATTCTGCTGCAATACATAGTCTCATTTTGATGTAGATATTAGCAATTTTGATACTGGAGGACTTCCCGTCGGATCTGGGGCCCTTGCAGAAGTCGATTTGGACCCAAATATTCTTGATTCTTGCAGAGAAATTTGAATTTTGAGGCTCTAAACCAGCTCTGGGAGACCCACAGATGTTGACGGAAGTCCTCCACTGCATCCAACAAGTAATCAGAATATTCCTATTCCATTTCTGGCTGCTTTGCCTGAGGGATTTGGAGCAGCCAGCTCGAGTAGTTTGATTGAATCACCTCAACACATATTTTCAACTTTACGCTGTCCATAATTCCGGACGGCTATTTGACTGGCACAGGTTCATGCTGTCTTTGCATTAAGAGCACTCAAATACACTACGGGTGCTGGGCTCCGGAACATTTCCGAAGTTCGTTCGGAAATGTTTCGAAAGATGCCCCCGCAGGGGGGGACGTCCTGGACCTTGGTCCAGGTACATTTCGAAATGTGCTCCGAAAGGGATTCCGAGAATCTTTCAAAGACCTTTTGATATTTGTTCGAAATTCTTTCGAAAAAGTTACGGAATGCTATTAACTTCGAAGTCGACTCCAAAGCTTGACTTCGGAATGATTCCGAAAAAGTTTCGAAAGATTTTTGTCATGATCAGGGGTGTTTTGAATTTTTTTTGAACTTTTATGATGCTTGGAGTGGCAATTTGTAAATTGCACTTGGTCAAAAAGGCCTGTTCCTCTCACTCGCTTGCTCATCCAACACTGGTTTTAAGGCATGTATGTATTTGTATTTCCAACTGAAGAATTACTTGAGTAACAACAACGAAACCAGACAAAAGCAAGTAGAGAGCGAGAATGAAACAACAGCAGATAGGAGATGACCAAAGAAGACAAAAGATAGCAGACAACAAGCATAAAACACATGAAAGTAAGCGACATGATGAGGAATGATGAAAAATGATGAAGCCGAGCAAAAACGACAAGATATAAACGATCAAGCAATTTTTGTTTAGATCGCTTGCTGGTGTGCTTGTTACTCCGCTGTGTCACTTACTGTTGGAGGACAGTTATGAAAACTGGAAAGGAGATGGCTTATAAGTGGATTTGAGTGTGCTCAACCAAAATCACATGAAGGAGAGCTCAAGGAAGTCGTCGTCAGAGGGAGAGAGGAGGGGGTAACTCAGGATGAGGAAGCGAGAGGCAACCGAGACACCCTGCTCAACAATTCAGCGCTTTAAATACCTTTTCAAAAAAAAAATTCACATCGGTCTGGTTCCTCCAACCAAAAAAGTTTCGAAGTACTTTCGATATTCTTTCGAACCGGTTGGAGAAACCGAAGCATGGTTCGAAAATTTTACGAAAGATTCATACCTACCACCGAAGAACTTTCGGAATAATTTCCGAAGTGTTTTTTTAAGGTTCTGATCCGGCAATATCCGCATAAAACCCAGAATTTCACCAGATCAAAATCTTAAGCAGAATATTCCGAAATAGTTTCGATTTTTGTTTCGAAAATTTCGTAAAAGTTTCGAACTTTTTACGAAAGCTGCTTCGAAATTGCCAAGTGCATACGTTTCGAAATTGTTTCGAAGCAAAACCTTAAAAGCACCCCCGTAGTGTATCCAGGTGCCGGTTGCCTTGGCACGCACCCCTTTAGTTAGTCTCGCGGCCGCACCGGTGAAACTACCTGTTTATTTATTTCGATGTTAGTAACAAAACAGATGACTGCTTGACATGTGGCAGGGTGAATGCCGTGGGCTTTTGGGCGATTCAGCGCCGATGTTGTGAGGGATGCTCCGGCTTACATTTCTCTTCACTATTATCTTCTAGCATCACATCTTGTCATTTCCTTCCTTACATAGCCCACTAGTATATGCCCCCAAATTTGGGGAGGCAGCTTGTGTTTGCCCCGGATGTTGGGGGTTTTACTCGATGACCTTTGGGGTTTTCTTGAGTTGGACACCTGTCTGCCTCGATCTAACGCCGGCGTCGACAAATCCAACAAATGTGAATTGGAGGTCGACGCCGGCGTTAGAAATGAACTGGGTTTGTTTGGCCCTCTGAGGCCATTTTTTTAGTTATATGTAGATTACATTCTCATGGCAGGTGTGATCTGTCTTCTTTCTCGATCACATTTCCTTATTGGCCTCGTGCATCTAGTTCTGAGTCACCTGAGAGGACTGGCCGCTACCCTCTAAGAGAGTAGCTCGCGTGTGCGTATAAGCGGGTTTAGACAGTGATTTTGGCGGGGATTCAGTCGGCCGCAGGAACCGCCGGTTTGGGGTGAACTCCCAGCCGAAATTCCCCCCAAGGTCGCTCAACTTCAAAGTCGACCTCACTCCCCCTTCCTCTCCTCCAAGTCCACCGATACTGAAAAACCTTCGCTAGCGGTCAATAGCCTCGCTCGTTGTGAATATACTATCGAGCTATTCGAACCATTCCAGTATGTAGAACTTGCCACTTTTGCACTCGAGAAAGAATTTCAATCGCTCTTGAACAGGCCAATGATAGTTAGAATGCACTTTTGATTACGATGTAGTCGTACATTTTTGCACACTGAGAAACTGGAGGCAAGAAAAGAAGAAATGGTAAGAAATAATCAACTCATGATCGAACTGGGATGAAAAATGGGGGTGGAGGGATGGGTGTCAAGCTTGGAAAACTCTCTGCAATTCGAAGTCGGGTTTTGAATGATCCACTCCCTATCCGACCTTCAACATCCTGCCAATCGTTACTTGAGTTTCTCAGCTTGCTTGGCGCATGCGGTCGTATGACATCTCAACCCAATTGATATGTGTAGGATTAATTTGCTATCTCATTTTAATATTGCTATGTGAATCATTTGCTCATGAAGCTAGTGAGGCATCCACATTGTGAGAGGTTGACCAGTCCTTATGAAGAATTATTGAAAACATGAAGCACATAGGATGAAAACGAAGACAGACAAAACTAGGAGGACACAATAAGTTTGAGGCAGTAAAAATTATATGTACAGCTGGTCAATTATTCGTGAGATTGCGGGTTGATGTGTATGTGATTGATCAAATCACTTGCTTCCACCTCTTCCCCTTCCTCATCATCCACTCCCTCGTTCGCATCAATAACCTCCTCCGCGCGACCTCCAACTTCGACAGGGGGGGCAGTTTCACTTTGGTCCGCTGATTTGAGGGTCGATATAATCCTGAACCACTCGTGGGCCTGTGGGCCGTTCCCGTGTAACTGCTTCCACAAGGACTCAACATCGGTCGACCAGCTACGCATGAGGGCCTCGTGTTTAGTTAAGTAGCTGTTCAAGATTGATAGTAGCAGTTCAGCCTTGACTGAGTTGCCACAATCGCCCAAGCTGATCGAGGTGAGAACACCGGCCGCTGAGTCTTCGGACTCCATATCTTCATCATCGTCTTCGGATAATTCTGAAATAAAGCGGTCTACATAACCAGCCAAACATTTATAATTCAGATTAGATTAAACGAGACCGACCCACAAATTTGAGCCTGTACTAGGGTATCTTACCAATGACAGTAATTTTAGCCTTGAGGGCTGCATGATGATTAACAGCCCACGAAATGGCAGAAAGAAATTCATGCCGTACCAGAGCGAATTCTTCGTCTGCTCTTTGTGAAATCAACATCGCATGGATTCCAGAACGTACATCAGAGTTGACAGCCCAAGGCGCTCGCGAATGATACAGGTAAACGTCTTGCCAAAAAGCATCGTCGAGCGACAGGTTGACAAATACCCGATAAGTCATCTCTGGTATATCTGGTTGGGTTTCATTGGGTAACAAAAGCGCGAGGTAATCAGCTTGATAGCCATTATACTTCCTTATGGCAGTCTCAATAGGCCCCTTTCGACGGTCGATTGCTGCAATTATGCGTGTGCTAAGTGTTGTTCCAATATGAGTTCCGCGGTACAAGGGTTGTCTTTCTGAAAATAATTCAACGGCATGAGTGTACAATGCGGATTTTGAATGCCAAAGTAGCAGCTGTAGTCTTCTGCGCGGAGCTTCCAAATCCCCAACAACGTGTCAGTTTTTGCTGTATAGCACAATATCAAAGTTAATGCGTACCATCTTGACCAATCAAGACATTGTACTCTCCAGGAAGCTCGCTTGCAAATCCGCGTTGTTGTTCTGCACTTGAGGCAATTTCCACTAGTGATTGGACTATGTCGTCATAGGACCCAGAATTGGTGGCTGTCATCTGATTGAGTTGTGCTCTTTATTGCACAGATGTTAGTGAATTATCTTTTGTCTAAAACCTAATGTCTCATCACATACCTCAGCCGATTCAAACTTGCTTCCCGATCTAAAAACATTGCCAGACGTTCTTGCCGCTCGCGATCTGCATCGGAGTGAGTTAATTGAAACTGGCGCTGATGGTTCCATTGTTCCTCAAAGAACCGGAGATCGTAAGTTGCTCTGGGTGAGACAAATGGATTTATCAGCTTAGAAAGCGAGTCAAGCTTGATGGTTGATTCCTCTTTTCGTCGCGCCGCCTGATGGTATTTATGCTCAATCCAGTGTACTAAAAGACCCATTTCAGTTGGTATGAGAGTGAGACAGTAGAAGAAATTAACAGATTACTGACTTAAGTTTTCTATTCCTCGTTTGTTGTGGAAGTGGATCTTGTGTGCAAGTGCAGAAAGTCGATGATTTCGGGTAGCGTATCGTAGTGGGCTGACCAGAGGCGACAGATAAGACCAAAGTCGTTCTAGCCCTTCCCCATCGGACAGGCCCCATCCATCGTTGTATCGAGGGCTAAATTCCAGCTGGCACTTCCAGTTGTGTACATAGGAATGAAACACAGAAGTGCCAAACTTGAGCCGATTGGCATCTTCAGGGAACAGATGGCGCTTGCAAATAGATAAATCATTAGCCATTAGCATGATCAAAAAAGTAGATAAAAAACCAGCCAACTCACAAGGTCGACAAACTTTTTCAGATTACATCCAATATCATAGAGAACTTGAACATCCCTAGTCGAGTCAACATCAGATAGAACCTGGTTGAGTATAGCCAAGGGATACTTGCGATTTTCCCCGCCGTCAGAAATGTTAGCAAGATAAACTGCTGAGTCATGCCTGCAGCAACATCCCATCAGACCTGTATCATCACATGCTTTCCAAGTTGACTTGTTCCTCTTATCATCTGCGGCTTTGTGTGAATCGGCACAACGATCTCGCTGAGGTCTCACAGAAACATTATGGTTGGCAGTCCATTTATACAATTATAAGGTGGATTTTCAACTCACAGTTCCTCTGACGCGGTGTATTTCTTCTTGGCGCTTGATGTAGTCATTCATCTCGGTTATCGACTCGGGCTTCACAAATTTATCAGGAGTGACCAGTTCAACATAATTCCGACTTCCAGCAAAGTGATGTCTGTGTTGGAAGTTACCGTCAAGACATATTATCAAAGGAGGTGGGCGGTTTCCCGGGTCTTGAGGCAGCCTGTTCAAAGTGGTTGATTCCTGTAGATTTGGAGCTACAGTTTCAGGAGGATTAGAACTTTGAGGAGCTGGTCCGAGTCTAGTCGTTACAGTGTGATTGGAGGGATCTCGTTGTAAGTTGCTGGGTGAAGCTGAGCCAAAGCACGCAGGGCAAGAATCTAAAGCCAACAATTGATGCCTAGTTAAGTGGAGGGTATCTTTAAGAATGTCGTTTGTTCGACGACCAAGTAAGCGATAGACATCTATGGCAGCTGCGAAGTTTGTACGGAGATCTCGCCGCTAAACAACCAAGTCAAACAACAGTGGGATTAGTTTATATGATGTTGGCTGGATCATGATGACAGTGAGACAAGGGCCACACGTTTCCTGATTGGGTTAGAAGCGGCATTGAGCGCTCCTCTAGCCATGCTTGCATGGCCTTCATGAAAGGCAGGGTGCCTACAGTGCACCACTGCCACAAATGATTGTGGAAAGCGAGTAGGTTGATCGAAAAAGCAGTCTGAGGGGCCACCGGTGTACTGCCTATGTATCCACGAGCAAGTAAGTGTAGCATGTCGGGTGTGCACTGGCAGAACGGGATGACTTCTCTTTTTTGGACTAAAAATGAATGTTACAGCAAGGTTTTCAATCAGTTATGTACTTGTTTATTCATCCCACCTAGAGGCTTACTATTCAAATCAATGAAGTCCACTTTTCGATGTTTAAACTGGTTGCATGTGCAAAAGTCTGTTGAAAAGTTTTCAAAAGCGTTGGAACTTGTCCAATTGTTGGTCTTGATTTGGAGCCAGAGGTACGCTCCATGAAGGGTTGGGATCAATCTGGTCCAGTGGTTATTGATTGACTGATGTCGATTTTGCTGATCTACTGAGGTGTGATGTGCATTCAATTCATCAATTAGACTGAAATGACCGTCGACATCTTCATTGGCTTCTGACGCTGGATTATAATGATTAAAATCTTCATCGGGTTGATTTTCCTCATCTGCTGGATTAGGATCCGTTTGACGATGTAGGTCCTCTTCTAGTTGCTGGTGTGCCAAGACAATATCGGGATTGATCAACAAGCGTGGGTCGGTTCCGGTCTGAATCCTTTGGAGAGTTTCCAAATCACGGAGCTGATCTGCAAGAGGGGTAGGCCTAGGTCGGTATGATCGGCGCCGCTCGGTGAAAAGGTTATCAGGGCTTGTTCGTGTCATGTCGAGGCAAGTAGGGAGAGAGCTGAGGGTTTGAAAAGGTTTTTTTATGATGCAGAGGTTGAAGGAGGCAGATGAGTAGGTCTGTCTGTTGATGAGAATAATCCAGAAGATTAAAATGCAGGCGTGTGCAAATTTTTCTTTGGCAAATTTTGAGCTTTTGGACCAAGCCCCTCTTTCTCATCACTAATCATCCCACTTTGCTCAGTCACTATAAAACTGGAGGTTTTGATGGAAAACCTTTACATGAAAAAGAGCTTTTATGAATACATTAGAATGATTCAGCCATTTATATCCTTAGAATTCACAAGATGCCCAAGATAGAAGGAATAAATAGATAGGATTCAAAGAGTGGAAAATGTGATCATTCTGTTAATAGTTGCACAATATTAGAATGACCACATGATGGAACACACTCACTGAATGTATTTAAACCACCCCAATAACATGGAGTCTTGTTCAAGAGTCAAAATTACATGTATTGGTGGTGTTTAAATACATTCAGTCAATTTTTCATAGCATGTGGCCACTCCAGTTGTACATCTATTACCAGCATGTCCACATTGTGGTACACTCCCTGGATTTATTTCAACCATTCTAAATAATGAAATATTTTCCAATAACAATAAAGAATCAAAACTCCTTTTTTGAATGGTTGAAATACATTCAAGTTTGTTCCCACATGTGGTCATTCTCATATTGTGTATCCACCTATTATCAGAATGAACACTTGTTGTGAACACATTAACTGGATGTATTTCAACCATTCCAAAAAAAGAAATTTTGATTCCCTATGGTTCTTTGAAAATAAACCATTCTTTGGCATGGTTGAAATATATCCAGGCAATGTGTTCCAACATGTGGTCATTCAAATATTGTGCAACTATTAACAGAATGATCATGTGTTGGAGCACATTCACTGAATGTATTTCAACCATTCCAAAACATGGAACCTTGCAGATAAAATTTTAGAAGAAAACTTACACGCATTGGAGTGGTTTCAATAAATCCATAACAAGTATGGGCACACATTAACTGAATGTATTTAAACCATTCTAAACATTAAATTCATATTATCAAAGCTTGTTCAAATATTGTTGGAAAAACTCCATGTTTTGGAATATTGGTTAAAACACTTTCAGTGAATGTCTTCCCACATATGCTGGCCCTTTTCATATCACATATGTTTTTTCAGAATGACCACATGTTGCAACATATTCACTGAATGCACTTCAACCATTTCAAAATATGAAATCTTGTTTGAAAATCTTATATAAAAATAAAATTCCATTTTTAGTTGGTAAACTATGACTTACTGGGTTGTGTTTTATATAAATCTTTCCCCTCAGCACCCATTTGAATTTTGTGCTCAACCATTGGGCCCCGTTTGGCCGCAAATCATGATTTGTGATTTGGCTAAGGTTTGGTGCAGATTTGGACTGTGCAATATAAAACAATATAAAATTGTTGCACAAACTCCTGCCAAATCTTGACTCAAAATTACAAATTATGGACAGCCAAACGGGGCCTTAATTATCCCCATTGTTTACCTTAATTTTGAGCACTGCATAGGATGAAGAATTCTTTTAATCAACAAAGAATTATGAATTTGGGGTCTCTGCATATTTGAAAGCTTCAGCACCTCAAAGAAAAAAATAACTCTTCAGTCATTTGTCCTACCAACACACATTTGGGTTCAAACCTTATACCATCTCAGCCATCTTTTGAGTGAAAAGGATTGAAAGTATTTTTTTGAAAGAAAATTTAAATTCTACTGCTCACCAAATTTGAAGGCATCTCCCCTCAAACTAAATTGTTTACCCACCAGTGTTTTTTTCCTACTGTTGTAGTGTGTGTTCAAACCACATACCCCATCTGTTGTGGCCTTATTTCAGGTGAAAAGAAGAAATAATTGTGGTATTTAACATAAAACTAATTTTAGTTTCTTGCTAATTTTGCAGAAATCATGCCCTCAAACCAAAATCTTTTGCATCAGTCCCTTTTTCCTATTAACACCCATTTTTCTAAAACCCACTTAGTACCAGCCATATTTGCTTTTCCCTTAGTCATCTTTGGGGTTAAAAGCATAACAAAATCTGTTGAAAAAAATGGTCAAATAAGGTGCTCTCCACTAGTCCCTTTTTCATACCAACAATGATTGTTTGATTTCTAAGGAACCAAACAGGGTATACATAAGTCAATTTTTCTTACTATAAAATCTCAACATTCAGATGGTTTGAATTAAAATGAAATGTGGAATTTCAAAGGAAAACTTCATATTTTAGAGCCCTTAACCTTTTCTCAAAGCTGGTGACTCATCAGCTTCAGCTGTTATTGATCAATTAACACTCAAAGTAAAAATTGTGATTTTTCTGATATGTTTAGTTTTGGCAATGCTGATCCATTATTTTGTGAGCAAGAAAAAAATAATGGATCAGAATTGAAAGATTGTTGAATGAACCACTACACCATTGGTGTATTTTGTTGTATCTAAGCTAGATTGTGCATTTGTAAAGAGTAGACAGTCCCCATGTATGTATGATAATAAACTACAACTCAGATGACAAGGAGGACAAGCACATAACAGGCACAGTAACCAAGGAAAATAAGAGCAATCACAATTTCAAGAGAAAAGAAGGAAATGACAATAAAATCAAGTAGATGTGGCAGTGCTATCATTCAAACTTGCTTCATTGAGATTTGGATCAATTGCCTGTTCGCTTGCAATCGGATTGTTTGAAGCTGCCAAGTTTTGAGCTGTAGAGGTGTTTGAAGAGGTAGTCTCCAAGTTGGTACGGCCTTCATCAACAGGGATTACAGTGAGCCACTTGTTGTAAATGGCCTCAAGAATAATATCAACTTTTCCATCACTTGTATTCTTAAATTGTACTCCCACCAGATCCTCCTCCTTTAGCTTCACTGCCTCTGGAGCAATGTTAACCTTCAACTTCAAGTTCTTGAAGACCTCACGAGCCTTCTCACCTGGCCAACCACTAGTGCGAACCCCGTTTGATGCTTTTGCTACTCAAATGCATAGATCAATCAGCTTGACCATCAAGTCTGCAAGTTTGGAGATGAAGAAAAACATCTTACCTAGAATTTCCTTGAGCTGAGTGGTCATGGAACTTTTGTTTGTTTTTGCAAGCCCCGTGTCCCAAGGTCCCTTTCCTTTTCGTGGTACGTTTGATGTCGTCACCTCAATCGCAGTTCGCTTTCGCTTCTTACAGACTGCCTCTATTGGCAAGTCATGCAAGTTTGCCTCGACCCCCAAACCCGCAGCCCACACTCGGAACCCCCTCCACGGATCGTTGTCGTTTGCTTTCTTAGCTTTGGTGCTGAGAAGCTGCATGTAATCAGCGCCAAGAAAGCTCGAGCCGGTGATGAAGACACGCCCTTTAATATCGGTCGATGCAAGAACCAAAAATGATTCAACTGAGTACTGTGTGCTGAAAAAATTCATCTTGATTTTGAAGGCAGTTGTCAGCTCAAAATGTGATGTGCAAAAATGTGGAAGGGAAGGCCAGACTTACGTCGGTGACTGTCTTCTTAGCCCAAGCTTTACAATGAGAAAGAACTTGTACATCGGTTTTCTTTGGCCCACCTGTAGTGTCTTGTTCCAGCTCCCTTGCCTGCTCTTGATCCTCATCCTCAATCTCTTCAGGATCATCAACAGGTTTCAGGCCCATTTTTTCGCGAAGCGAGTTGATGAAATCCCAGTCGTTATACTTCAATTGTTCATCCTCGTCAAGTTGCCTCCATCGTTCAGCAACCTGTTGCATTCTTTCAGCAGGGGGTAGCAGCTCTGGGACCCAAAAAAGCACAAGGAAGAAAATTGTGAATATTTCAGATGATTGGGAGATGCATTGATGACAATTCAGACAGGACTTACTTGAATCAAAAAGTTTTCGAGCTTCTGCAGCGTACCGGCAGAAGTTATTGAACCTGTTGGGGCCTCGGACCTTGTTCCACACACCCACCCATTTGAAAAGAAGCTCTGATCGGATCTTATGCTCTAAAGCTAGAAGGTGAATTTTGCGTTGATATTCTAAGGTGAGTTCTTTGAGCTGATCTTTAATTTGATTGGTGATTCGTTTGTTTTGACCAACAGCGTTCTGAGCGATTCGAAGTCCAAGGAGAGTTTCATTCTGCAGGCTACTCATTAGATTGTTTGGGAGAGATGGTCGGTTGCCAGAGACTGAAAGGTTTGGATTTTCTTCATTTTGAAATGTGGTAGCTTCTCCGCGCGGACGGTTACTAGAAGGGTGGGGGTCTGATGCAGTGGTATTAGTGGTTGGCTCGCGACCCTCGTTCGATGTTGAATTTTCTGCTGGGATGTCTGTTTTTTTCTTACGAGACTTCCGTTTCTTGAATGGACGCGCATTTGCTGTACTAGTCGTGGTTGATGTTTGGCTAGTCGTTCCACCGCCAGTAGGGTTTTGTTGCCCTTGCGTCGCAGTATGGTTTGTCTGAGCTGGGTCCGGGGCCAAGGTGTTATTGCTTGCTATTTGGTTAAACAGTACGTTTGGATCGCCAGGACCGAATCCAGAATTATTCCCGCCAGAAAACGAGTTTCGAAGGCTTTCGTTCGTCTGGAACTCAGCATTCATTAGTCGGTGATCACAATTGTTATTTGGATACGGTTGGGGATCTACATAGCCTGAAAAAGTTCCATAGTTCTGCGCCATCGATCTGTTGAGTGATTCATATAAGTACCTGAGAGTGAGAATAAGGAAAACGACACAATCACTCACCAGAGAAAAAATTAGATTGTATTCGCGGTCACCAAACAACAATAGCGCTTGGAGGGGTTGAATTGTCGGCAGACTGTTTTTTCAGTATCGACGGACTTGGAGGAGAGGAAGGGGGAGTGAGGTCGACTTTGAAGTTGAGCGACCTTGGGGGGAATTTCGGCTGGGAGTTCACCCCAAACCGGCGGTTCCTGCGGCCGACTGAATCCCCGCCAAAATCACTGTCTAAACCCGCTTATACGCACACGCGAGCTACTCTCTTAGAGGGCAGCGGCCAGTCCTCTCAGGTGTTCTGAGTATTTACTCCTTCCGGGAACACCGCCAAGGACCGTCACCGCAAGCTGATCTACCGGTGGGGTGCCTCGACTGCGGATGTGGGAGGAGTGATCCGTTGATATTTCAGATTTGTTCTTCAGATGTTTTGCACATCTATTTTTCGACAAGGGTGTGATTGTTGGAAGCAGTTATGGGGCATTTAAATCCGAGCGGTGAACTTTGGACACATATTTGTATAAAAGGCCTGTTCGTTTCCCCAAAGCTCTGATCCAGACTTCACGCTCCTATCCACGCTTGAGAATCATCAACATTATCCAGCAGCCTGGAAAAATCACCCAAAAGCTTTTAATTAAAGATGATAGCACTTGTCTGCCTCTCCCTTCTCTCCCTCCTACTCCCTGCACAACTCCAAGCCTACAACCCCACTGCTTCCTCACACCAATTTGAGAAGCGGTTAATCGGTGGCTGTACCACAGTTACGCCTGGTCAGGTGAAGAACTGCCTCCAACAAAACGACCGTGAGCTGATGCCCCAATTTAGACCGGGCTCATTTAAGCATCAAACGAAAATTGACGCACTCAATCCTTGTTTTTCATTCCCTACTAACACGTTATAGCCGCCACATACCAGCTCTGCAAGTGCTGCAAGGATGAGACTGCAACGATCCAGTGCATCACTACAAAGAGTAAGCTGCTCACCGTGAGTGCGCTTTCTTCAGACAACTAATGCAAAACATTGTTCTGTTCTACAAAGCCGCCTGCCAGTCTTCGAACCAGAACAGTTGTGTTAGTAACACTAACAGCGGCAATGGTGAGTCGGTGGCCAATTTGGACGATCCTCAATTCATGTATGTATCATCGAATAACTAACAGTCACGTCTTGTGCTCTACCCACTCGCCATAACAGGCGCCCTCAATTAAAGATGCGGCCTATGTTCGACTACGCGCGCTTCTGTCTAACTGACAAATTTGGTGAGTGATTCCGTCTTTGATTCACTTATCCACTCAGTATTAATCTCCATCTGGTAACTTTCTCATCCCGCCAGTATGCCCGTAAGGTGGATGTCGCTGCCAGATCAGGAACCTTCACTTACACTTCTGATTCGTGAGAAAAAAGTGTACCTGCTTTCATCACGGACAAGAAAGCGAAAGTTTACCTGTTTTCATTATGGTCACATTTGTGACAACCTCCAAGGACGCATCATTTCATGTTTTTTTCCGTGCACTGCTTCCTTTGCTCTTATTTCATGATCCCAAATTGAAATAAATGTCGATACACAAGTATGTGAAGTGATCATCATTTGTTCCTTCTAAGTTCTGTCCTGTTCCATCAGCACCGTTGGAGGGACTTGATTAAGTTGGTCGTGGTGTGTTCCGAAGCTTACAATAAAATCCTGAGTCGAGACAGGGGCACGCGGTACTATGGCCGCGCGCAGAGACGCGGAAAGCTTTTGCATTCCCTATCTTCTCCGGGATCATCTTGCACTACTGTAGCACCAGATAATCGCTGTGATGATCTAATGGCCTGGCACCTGCAAATGACTCTTGATCATAAACAAACAAAACGAAAATCAAACGATTTTTGAGCATGAATTGCAAGAGAGATGCGGAATGTATCACAGGGAAAGATTGAGATGATCGAGGTCTCTAAATTCTAAGCTCAGGTATTAGGTGACCTTCAAACATGAGACTCGCGCGCCGGTCTTGCAATCCCTTTTGTATCTCTTTGGGATAATAACATCAAGACCGGACAGTCGAGCAAGGCTTTGTGATGTGTGACCTTTGACGTGTACGTTTGCATCCAAGAATCAATAAATGAGAGGGACTGGAGAAGTATCTACATCCAAAAAAGGGAGGTTTCTCTAGTGAGGGAATCAAGTGACAAGCTTTTGGATATGATTTCTGTTCATATAAGTGTACTGAGATTTTCTTTCTATCTGAATCATGAATTTTTGATATGATTATGTTCCATGCAATGCAAGGATGAGGGGAATGTTGTACAAGTAGTGAGAGTATGCGACATAGATGATATAGTGGCTGAGAAAGAAGGATAAAGAAACCAATGGAGGCATAAAGAAAGTGATTTTCAAGGCATCCCTTCCAAATCTTCGGCAATCATATCAAGAAACTGGATAGTTCCAAGACGATTGCCGGCCATTTTGACGGAATAAGATGAACACTGATCGGCATCTGAAGGAGAGGAAGGCGTAATCCAATTGCGATCTACAAGTTGGCCATCAGAGGTGTCTACAATCAAGGGCAGTTTCTCGTGTTTTGATCAGCTTGGTTGGTATTTTGATTGTGATGAGTGAGGATGGGTACTTGGCACAAGACGTTTTGGTAGCAACGTCTGACAAATTGTTTGGTCAGTTTTCGTGGGCCTTGTGAAAGGTCTAGGGGGGGGGGGGGACCAGGAGTCGGGTGCTCTTGTCTTTTGGGTAAGAGATCACTGAGTGGATCATATTCTATTTGGACCGGTGTCGGGCTCAGGGGATGTGATTTGGGGAGTTGAGGGGGGATTCGGATGAGAGGCGTGGGGATGGATCTGGGTGTCTCAGCCAATGTCGACTTAGGTTCCTGTTTTGGACCGGAGGCATAGCGCGGGGAACCAGCAGAGCCGACATCGGAAGCTCGGATTTTCAACTCGGAGAGCATCTTTCGGGATTGTCCGAGGATCTTGGGAGGTAGTGAGGGTTTCAGTTCATCGGGGACTGCGAGAGGTGGGCACTGGGCCAATGAGACCGGCCAACCAGCGGTCACGTAGCCAGCGTCGTTTGTTGATCTGTCTGGCTTCGTGCAACAATCCCATGTGTGCTGCTATGGGTGGTGCGGCCGATTGAAGGTTGGGTGGAAGGTCGGACCAGGTATTGTTGATCAGCGTACCCGGAGGGATCGATTGCAAGTGGCCAATCGATGGCCGTCCTTGCCCCAGATATGCATCTGGGCAGCTGAGCAGAGCCACTAGGGCTGGCAAATAGCTTGGGAGCTCGGACAATGGATACAGCAGTTCTTCCTTGGCGATCCCTGGAACCATTTCCAAATATAACTAGAGCGAAAAAAAAGAAAAGAAAATTCGTTCTGTTTGGCACTCTTCTGATTTTTATTTGTTTGTAAATCGTTGGACTCACTTTCATGAATTCCTTCCGTCTCTCTCCAGCTCGTGCGGATGCTTCTTTCAGTAAAGTCTCGTATACGTTCACATGGCCCGAGTTTGCGGCAGCTATCTTGAATCAAACCTAGATCAGAGAACAAAAACAAACAAATGCCAACGATCTTGATCTCCAAAATCCTAGATAGCTTTTCCTTTGCGGTTTTCTGCTAGATAAGTACATATTACTTACACCTTCAGTAAAATGTTTTGTCTTTTCAATTCATTTTTCCAGTCTTTGAGGATCGGAGCCATGAGGTCTTCAACAACGTTGATGTAGCAAGTTTAAGAGATACGCCCTATGACACCATCAACACCATGCGACCACGTACCCATCTAGAAATAAAATTTGAAAAGAAAAAGTCAGATTTTGATCTAATAAAATTCGACATCTTTGAGATTATTCTACAAGGATGAATTTGGGATGTGAAGTTCAACAGACCGTGTTGTTGGGTCTCGGAACCGGCTCAGATGGCGGAGGTAGGACGAAATTATTGAAAGGTGTTGGGGTGTCAGTCGGGACATGGTTGGTCAAGCTCATCGTCCTGCTTCCGAGGGCCTGGGCAACAAGCCGTTGGAGAGGCCGGGATCCGATTAGTAAGTTCGCAATCCCGGGTGGTTTCAGGTGCTTTCACAGTGAGCCAAAAAAAAAAAAAAAAAAAAAAAAAAAAAAAAATCAAAACCTGCTTTGCAAGCTCCGCTGGATGGTGCAGCACAGACATCTCCAGTCCTGCTCTTGTCACTTGTATATGAATCCTTATATCAGCTTAAGTGTGCAATTAACAAGCTGGAAAAATTACAGCAACAAACCCAAGTGAAGACAGAGAAAGAGCTTTGATCTAAAATCAATCACATCCTTTGAAGATGGTTCACATAACACTCCATATACATACTCATGAAAAGCCTACAAAAATATATTCCACAATCAGGGCTGATCCTGAGACTTCAATTACAATGAGGTTTTTGCCAACACTAACAGAGAAAAGAGAAAAAGAACAAAACATTTTTTGATCAGAGGCACTGGAAATCACTCAAGGTGGCACAGTTGAATCAGGAGGAGAACCAATAATGATCAATTTCAGCCATTTCAAGAAAGCTTGGATAGTGTATTTACTGGCATATATTTGTTGTCTTCCTTTTTATTTCAGCTACCTATGCATTGAGCCTCAGAGCTAAGCCGGTATGGCCAGTTGCATACAAGATTTTATTTTAGATTCAAACTCCAATCAATTTTTTGGATCTTGAAAGTTCCACCATTGGGATTTTTGTATATACATGAATAAAATGAGGAAAATTTTCCCATCTGACATGCAAGCTTTCAATGTGAACTAGGCTATCTAAGAGGACTACGTACAAGATTGATCAAGAATATTGAATAATATCCAATTTGATAAATAATATTAATGAGAAAGATATTTCAAAATCATATTAGTTTTGAAGGATTGAAGATAGTGCAGCTACTAATCATATTCCTAAAGCCACAAGATTGAGGTACCTCAAAAATGCTTCCATAATCAAGACAAACAACTACCATAAATGATTCAAGATATGGAGCATCAGTTAAAACTAAGAGCAATCAAGGGGAGCATCAGTTAAAGCTAAGAGCAATCAAGGATAATTCCATCAGTTCTCCTACCCTGCGAGATAGAGAAATTCTGATTCTCTCTCCCTATTCCCTATTGGAGTAAAGGTAGAACTCATTTTTGAAGAGGATTACATGGTTGGGTTTGACCTGTTGACTACACGACTGACCAAATTACTGTCACCACTACCCTCTCACATATACTTATCAGTAAGGATAAAATCACAAACTTTTCTCTACCATAATCTCCTGTGTTCAATTCCAGTAACCTTCCAAACACCATATTATTGAAAATTGAAAGCCAATCATGAAACATTTCACTATCACTGATACTATGTAACTATCCTGAATAATGTCCTGTTGGTTTCTGTGATTGGCCCCATGCAGATCAAGAAAATTTAAAAACTTACATCAATTACCGATGTAAATTCAACATTCATATCCCAGCCTGGTGGGGAAAGTGATTATTCAAAAATACGCTCTACTTGCAAGGCAAAATGTTGGGCTTGTGGTCCCTGAAAATTTCAAAGATAAATCAAGCAAGGAAAAAGGATAAAAAATTAAAGCAAGAGTCAAATAAAATCATACCCAAGAAAATGGCAAAAGGGATCTGAAATGAATGGAAAATGGAACCAAAATTATGATATAAAATAGAAAAGAAAAACAAACCTTACACAAAAAGAGAATCATAAAAACACAAAGGAGGAAATCAAAACCCAGTAGCACCCAGAAGATGCAAACTATGCAAGTGCAGTTGCCATTGGGATGTGGGGAAACTGTGGTTTTAAAGAAGCTTAAACTAATCCTTATTTATCTGATGTGGGAATACTTAGTCACAATATTTTAATTACAAGCTTAGAAGATTAAACTTCAATTGAGTTTCTTATCTTATGTGATGATTCTTTTGGACCACCTTATAATTGGGCACCTCCTAAGAGTTTTTTTAATACAAATGGTAAATTTACCTTCAAACCATTTAAAATTAATCTTCAGATAGATAGACATGAATTACATATGAAGTAAAATTATTTCTTTCCACATCTAATATTCCCATCAACTGTCTGTGTAATCATTCCTTTTTTATTAGTCTCTTCTGTGAAAAAGAGCTTTTTTTGGTGTCTTTGATCTTCCTGCTTAGGGGAGAGGGAAAAAAATGTGCTGAAGTGGATTAATTTAACCTGACCTGAAAAACATGTATCTTGAAATAATTGATGTTATTGCCCCATACATGATGTTATGAACATCAGCAAAAAATTAACAATGCCTTAAGACTCTTGCCCACTATCATATTTGTTGAATACAAGTCACCTGCATGGCAATTGAGAGCCTCAAAAACTGATCATAAAGTTTTGCCTTATATCCATAGCTCTCCTGGCAGCTGAATTGGGTTTGATGACTTCCTCTATGCAGGTCATGAAGAATTGATTACCTCACTGTGGTTCGAGGTTCAGATAAAATGTGATACCATAGTCAATCTACATTTCACTTTTGTTTGCAGTTTACATGAAGCTCCTAACATTGGCATAGGAGGAATACTTAAATTTGGATAATCCTCAACTGGCATGAAACTTGTCAAACTCCCCAAAATTGTGGGTAAATTCTTGTCCAATTATAAGTCTTTGCTGATATTTTATAAGCTAGTTAATTTGTGGTATCTAAATACAGTGCTACTGCTACCTACAGCAAAAGGGTGTAAATTTTTGTTGGAACTATATATTCCATGTCCTTAAAATTGCAATTAGAAAATCTGAAATGCTGAGCTCTGATTATTTCTGGAGCATACCATTTTCACTTCAACTGCTATTCTGAAACACAGATATGGAAAGCGACCCAGATTGAACATCTTTCAAAATCTCTGTTACATTTTTTATCATCAAATCGCGACTGAAGCTTGAACCTCGTTCGTCCGTATAGAAAAAGACTTGCCCGGTTTGTCCTAGGCCTCCCGAAGCCCTGTTCTGATCAGCAAGCTCCAAGGTCCCGGTTGCGATTTGGGTGGTCTGGATACTTGTTGCCAGCCCTCTTAGAGCTGGCTTCAGTTTGCGATTGTAAGTGAGGTTGATATCCCCCTTCAAACCTGCTGGCCCATTTTGAAGTTTTACCATCAAAGGGAAACTAAAATCATCCGAAAAAGTAGCAACTGAATCCGTTTTTGATCCACTTGATCCTGTTGATAGTTGTGTTACCTCCTGTAATTGACGCAAGTGAGAATGAGACCTGGGGTCAAAAAAATTGGTCAAGAAGATTTGGACTACTACTCATTCATACCTGGGAGCTACCATCTGCGGCAATAATTTGCTTGTTTTGATAAGCAAAGTCTTGCTTAAAAGATGCTTTTTTCTTTGTCTTACTGCCTGTTACTAAGTAGCTTTCAATAAATAATTTCCGGCTAGCATTGGTGGTTGTACAAACCGAGCCTCCGCATATCCCTCCAGCAATGTTGATAGTAGGATCAGTTTTATACTCGATCATTTCTCCTGTGGTACGTTCTCCTGAAGTGTCAAGCGCCATCGCAATGTTTCCACTCAAAAACCATTTTGAATTGATTGATCGATTTTCGCCTTGTCCTTCAACAGTCAGAGTGAAGTTGTGGGGTTTGGAATCAGTTAAAAGAGGTAGGAAAGGTGTGATATCGATTTGATAAGTGGGTTGGTCGAAGCTTCCGTAGGCAGCCATGGGTCTAATCCACCCACATCCCATTTAACCAAAATTAGCCAAAAACAAAAGCATGGGGATCACATAGTACATCAGGAATATGTATTTCAAAATTTATGCAAAAAAACTATTTACCTCCACCAAGTCAACAACATCCCTCCAGTGAATATTACGGGAAATGGATAAGCAACCCCAGCTAGCCGATTGTCGCTGTAGCAAATCGTAGACATCGGAAAGACATACAAATAAATATACCATTAACAACCCAATTCAGCTTCCTAAAATTTCTCAAAAACACTCACATCCAAAGTTGAACTTCCCGGAAGGATCCCTTGGCAGAGCAATTTTCATTTGACGTGTTGTTCAACGCCGGGAGCACTTGGTCCAAAGGATTCGTGTACTAGTTTCTTTTTGTTTTGTGTCAGATTGATACTGAATATCTTCAAGGTATCTAAGATTAATGTGTAAATCGAGACCGCGTAGGACTGACCCAAAACTAAAAGACGTGACCCAAAATGAGACCGGGATAAGATAAGAGTTTTTAATAAAAGACAAGGCAGGATTCTAAGGAGTTAAGTTCTTGCGCACCTCTTCTTTGTCAGAACCACTAGCATAAATTTCCACAGCAGCAGATACGGCATTCTTCACCACAAAAATAAGAAGAATTTATATCAGCTCAAAATAGAAATCTGTGAAAATATACTAGAGCATGTTTTACAGATGGTATTTGAACGGGTATTGTCGCAGCTTTAGGAACTGAAAACGGTGCTGAGTCACTTTCTGAGAGTGGAATGATAACAGCTGGCGGTATTGAGGCTGGGAAATCCGCAGTGGCCATGTAATAGGTTGCAGATAGTTCCACATAAAATTCTCCATCTATTCCACTTGATTTGTCGACAATGTTATCTAGCCTCATGACTAAACTGGTTTGAGGCAAGGCGAATAGCGGAATGTATTTGGTCACATCCTTTTGACTATTACCAGCATTCAATCAAAATTCGTCAGTGTGAAAAACTGTCTTGTCAGAGAAACAAACAGGTGGATATTTTGGAAAAATACATTGTCCATGTGATACCTCCAGGCGTAGGCTCCGCTGTGGATGTCCTCATGACTAAAATAACATGGTTGAATTAAGCTGATTCGGAAACATCTGTATTCTGGCGAAGCTAACTGTGTGGACGGGGCTAGGTACGCATTGCGAGTGAGCAGCACTCACTCTCAACTCCGCTTAAAAATATAGACTACATGGTACAGAACAGTTCAGGTCAGGTTGAGTTTTTTTTGTTTCAAAAATCTTGCATGCTCGTCAAGTTAAAAACTGCCAGGAGTGAAAGAGACGACTGACACTTAGGCGATCGAATTGATTGCCCCGTGATGCTAGGTCACAACAAACAAAATGCTCAAGAGTTTTCAGTGGATCCTATGCTTTGACCGTCTGTGTCACTTTGGACGCTTACTGAAAGTCAAACTTAGGATCACTGAGGCCCAGCTCCTTGATTCGCCGCACTCTTGTGGTGCAGAGTAGCTAACCCTTGCAGGTTTACCAAAACTGTTTCCAAATGTCTGATTTTTTGGAAGGAGGAAAAGAATATGGAAAACAAGAATTTGGTTCAAGAACTATCACCAAAACCAAGGATGTAATGATGGAATTTAAATTTGATGATGAACTTCGAACTGTGCTTACAGTTTGGAGGAGACTTCGACTACAAGATTTGCCCTGTTGAGGGACCACGGGAGGCTAGAATCCGCGAGTTTCCAACCAATCGTGAGTATAGCATGCCATGAGCCGTGTTTTTTCGAGTTGAGAATCCATCCAACCCAGTCAGTAGCCTGATCAACAGTTGGGCAAGCAAGCTATTATGAAGCATACAGGACAAGACATACCTGTGTGACTTGGAAATTTTTCAGCAGTCCTTCGCTTGTGTTGAGCCGCTGCGAGCCGATCACTTGTCGCTTCCTAAGCACCGAGCTCGAGAACGCTGAGGGAAATAGGAGATTTTCAGGCAACACCATTTGTTGGTCTTGATCAAAGCCAAACGCTGAAAGAACCTCATGACCATGAACTAGATACAAGTTGGTAAACAACAGATTCCAAGCGACAGAAAATAATAGCGGTTTAAGCCACATTTCCAACTCTGAAAATGGGCCTGAATTGAGCGGAAAATAGGTGATGGTACACTACAACTGCTGGCAACCTTTGATGCAAAAATATAGGAACGCGGGAAGATCTACAAAACGTTTCGAGTCGCAAGCAGGTGAGATTGAGTGTCCCTTGTTATATTGAGCTAATGAAAAGGGCATTTAAATATTAACATTTTTAGATTCAGCTCTGGAGGAAGAAGTGGCAGGAATGAAATCGTAAGAAGTGATAATCACAACGGATTTGGGACTGGGAAGCGAAGCGATCGCAACCCGTGACGCTAGGATAGGATAGACAACTCGCTCTGGCTTTCATCGCTTGGAACTCAATGCCGTTGTCTGACTCCCGAAAGATGTACCGTGACCGCATGCAATGGAGTACCTTCGGTAACGAGATACCGAAGAAAAGTTAATCAATCTTCATATCGCTTGTTCTTTCAAGGATGGAAGTAGGCCTCTTTATGATATGGGTTCCAACTTCCAATGATGCATATCAGCTAGGCTGGATCTATTAGCGTTGCTAGCTCCCTAGTGCGCCAGAAGTCCAGGACTGCAACAGTCGCGGATTTTGATCAAGTAAAGCATTGATAATTGGGACTTCAAACGCCCACATGACTCTTCTTACTCGACCAATCCCACTTATATAAAGGCTTTTGAACGCACGAATACTCGCGAGGAATTGCTTGGTCAATTTTCCACACAACTTCAACAACATCGTTTTTTTGGGAAGCGCTTCAATGCACACGCGATCATCCGCTGGAATACCTGTGAATCAGAATGACAAGCATCAACCCGACTATCGGGCAGCTTTCAGATGTAGTAACGTGTTGTCTTAACATCCCAATTCCTAATTGTTTAGGTTTCTTACGGAGGCTATCAGGCCCTCGACATGGTGGTGTTGGTTCTAGTCTCACTTATGAAGGAAGCTTGGAATTGATTTCCTTACTAAATTTTGCAAGATGAATTGCTGGCAGTGTTTCAATGCTGGTCTCACTCGGATAAGCCAACAGTGGGTGACTTGCTTACTAGTAACATTTTCATTTCCGGTGTTATGCACCCATGATTATGAATTGCGCTACTATTAGAAGCTGGGCAACCACTCTTGTGAATCATGATTACTTTGAGCTTTTTTGTTTGAAAAATATGTATGAGACAACTTGATTGGCCGTATTTGCAGAAGAAGAGCAATGGGTCTACATTAAACCTTGTCGCCGGCCATGGTAAACATTGGACTTGTATAACGTATTGCTTCCCTCAACCACTTGATGATTTGTTGGGGATTATGAACTTATCTATGTATTACCTGTTCGGAGCACTTCAGCGATGTTTGACGAGGAGTCCATTAGTGAAGATAGTCGGGGATCTTCTCCAAATAGATCTCTTCTCGTCGCCCGCTGATGACCAGTACTTCGAGCTTGGAGCAGTCGATCTCCAACCCAGAGATGTCTAGAACTACCGGATTCTCGGAGTCTGAGAAGGATTTTAATACCTGGACGAATCCAGCGGCCGATGAAGCTGAGGAAAATCGGATGTGACACTGGTTGACGTGAAAACCGTTATTCATTTATTTTTTTGCAAAAAGAGAAACAGATTGAGTGTTAAGTCATGTTCTCTTCGCCAATCAATCGACAGAAATCCATAACATGATTGATTTACGGTTGCCAAGCCCTTCACAAAATCGATATATTTGACCTCGACGGATTCAGCTAGATTACCCGTAAATATCTCTTTCGATTTCGCAGTGCGTATAGCCGCTACAAGGTTCATAATGACTGGCTTGGTGATATTTTGAGTGGTTGGAAGACCATTGAGCCAAACTATGCAACCAGAATGAGGCGATTTTCTGAAGTTTTTTTCTTGAATCTGAAATGATGGGATACCGTGGGAAGAGCGAAGAGAGCCTGAAGATGCCAAGCAATAGTTGGGTGTTGGAAGGGTCAGAGTGGATCTAGTCGCTGTGACCTTTTCGGTCTGCTGGGTCGATGGGAGTGTGACGAGCCGTTCATGATTGATTCCATCCTCCTGGGTCTTGCTGTCGACGGCGATGGACTGCTGATTCGGCCTGGCTGGTGGGCCGGCAGACGGACGATTGGCGACCGCTGGGCCTGTTTTCCGGATGGCGAGTGCCCTTGGAAGGAGCATTTGATCCTCCCCACCACTCCAAGCCACGGGGGGTCGCTGGAGTCCCTGAGATGACGTATGCGCAGCCGATGCGGGTGCGTCAGCTTCAAGCGCAGCAAGCCAGTCCAAGTTGCCAATGGGCTTGTTGACCAAAGACGAACATCCACATCTCCACAAGCTTGGTCTCCATAATCTACATCTTCCTCAAGTCTTGCGCTGCAGATCAGAACCTAGCTTGAAGCGCCTACCTCCTCAACAATCAATCCAACATGTCTGCCGATCAAGCCCAACTACGGACACAAGCTTTGGAAGCATATCGAAAGGTTAGTAACTTTTGGGCTGATATGATTGTTAAAGGATCTATGGAACTAACACTGTTATTTCTGATTGAATAAATGAATTCAGAAATTAAAAGACCATGAGAGATGCGCCGAAAGTTTGAAGCGCTTACGTTTCTCGCTGAGGTCATTGGAACAAGAATACGATAAATCGGAGGAGGATATTAAGGCACTTCAATCGGTCGGACAAATCATCGGGGAAGTATTGAAAGCGTTGGATGATGAGCGCTGTGAGTAAAAAGACCACCTTTTTTCCTTAATGTGAGTGGGGATTTCTGATGAGGGTGTGTCAAATCTGATCGAATATCTCCCCCCTCCGTTTTTCTCACAGTTATCGTAAAAGCATCCAGTGGACCGCGTTATGTAGTGGGTTGTCGAGCCGCAGTCCCGAAAGACAAGTTGAAGAACGGTGTTCGAGTTTCATTGGACATGACTACATTAACGATCATGAGGATCTTGCCGAGAGAAGTTGATCCTATGGTTTATAACATGTCGACCGAAGACCCCGGATCGGCCTCGTTTGCGGGGATCGGCGGTCTGTCAGACCAAATTCGGGAGCTGAGAGAGGTCATCGAGCTACCACTGTTGAACCCGGAATTGTTCCTTCGAGTCGGTATCAAACCTCCAAAGGGTGTCCTACTCTATGGTCCCCCTGGTACCGGAAAAACATTACTGGCAAAAGCCGTCGCCAACACGCTATCCACTAATTTCCTCAAAGTTGTCAGTTCGGCTATAGTTGACAAGTATATCGGTGAATCAGCACGTTTGATCCGTGAAGTGAGTGAACCTTTCAAGCCTTGACAGAGTCTTCCGGAACTGACGCGCTGTTTATTCAGATGTTTGCATATGCCAAAGAGCACGAGCCGTGTATCATTTTCATGGACGAGATTGATGCTATAGGAGGTCGGAGATTCAGCGAGGGAACCAGTGCTGATCGCGAAATCCAGCGGACATTGATGGAGGTAAAGTTAGATCCAACTCTCGATCACACCTATGCATTAGCTAAACCGGGTTTCTTCTTGAATGATTTAGCTCCTTAACCAAATGGATGGTTTTGATTATCTCGGACAAACAAAAATCATCATGTGAGTCTTAAGGCTATAAGGTCAACATAAACAAAATCTTTTAGCTGATCACTATTGTTTCATTGGCACTACAAACAGGGCTACCAACCGACCGGACACACTGGTTTGTCTATCGACCAGATTTCTACACCGGTCCATAGATACATGATTTCTCACGCTTGAACGGTTTGCTCGTCATTTAGGATCCTGCTCTAATGAGGCCAGGAAGGTTGGATCGAAAGATTGAGATTCCCCTGCCGAACGAAGTAGCCCGGATGGAGATCCTCAAGATCCACGCAACCCCAATTCAAAAGCAAGGAGAAATCGGTACATACATCCAAACCTCCTACTCTCGGCGCGAAGAGCAACTAGCGGCTAATGCTATTCTATCTTTTTGGCTCATTGGGACGCGGATCAAGATTATGAATCGATTGTGAAGTTGGCTGAGGGTTTCAATGGAGCTGACTTGAGGAATGTGTGCACCGAAGCTGGAATGTTCGCCATTAGAGATGACAGAGATTATATTGTCCAGGATGACCTGAACAAAGCCGTGCGAAAGATCCAGGAGTCGAAGAAACACGAGACAAGTACGTTTGAATGTTTTTACTCTCCATCTTCTTGTGCCCTCATGATCTGCTATTCACTTATGCTTGGTTCTTTGGTTGGAATTCTGTAGAGATGGAATATGGAGATGTGTAATTGTTATTTCCAACTTGTTTTTGTAGCACCTTTGTTTGTTTGTTGTTTTCTTTAATGGAAGAAGAAAAAAAACACATCATTTTTTTAGGTTCAAATTGAAATCTGTTTCCAGCAATTGTTATTAATAGGCTGTGTTATCTGGGTCATCACACTTGAGAGGTTGGAATTTTTGATCATATGCTTGAGGTTGAGGGGAGATGTTGATTTGTCAATTGACACAGATTGGTGGCATGACAACTTGTTTGTGTAAACACACTCTTGTATGGATTATCTGAATCTTCAAATGAGTATAATTGCACTGGACTAACTAGTCATGTTATGTGATTGGTTTACAACAAATTTCTGAAACAGTGACATAACATTGAATCTGCAATAGCCCTGTTCATGTAGGGTGGTTGTATGAGCTTTGTGTAAAGCCCAGCTGCTAATTGGTAAACTTTTTGCTTAAATTGGTGTGGGATTGTGCCAAAATTTTAGCCTGATCTCATAAATCTTGCTTATTGCAATCTTTTTATTTGTGACTCAACCTCTTTGTGAACCCTTTAATTACTTGAAACAAGTCCCTTGAGGATCTGATGGCTTTTCTGGAGAGAGAGAGAGAGATGTGTGTGATATGTCAGATTGGGGCTTGAGGCTGTGCCTTCAGACACTTTTGGTGGGTCAAATCTTGTGATTCCCACTGTGAGACTGCCAATGCACTAACTGCCCCTGTTTTGACTTTGCAGTGAGAGGAGGGGAAAGGGGCCTCATTTTTGTCACCAGAGACACATGTTTTCCCTACACCAACCCTTCATCAAGGCCACAATCCCCATCATAGTGGCTCCCAAGAATAGCTGGGAGGTTGGAGAGAATTGGGTGGCAGATTGTGTGGGCTGTGGCTGTGGAAGAGGGGGAAGCAAAGGGTAAGATAGTCCTGGCAAAAAATGAAGGAAAAAATTCATAAAAAAACACACACACACACAGATCTAGAAAGAAGATCTCATGAAGAGATGCAACAAAGAAGATGGCATGAAGAGATGCTGGCACTGTGTACATAAGCCACTTTTCCATCAGAGATTGGTGAAAGTTTCACATGTGGGAGGGATGAAATAACTGGAAAACTGACACAATCTCACAAACAGCTCCTGGCTCAGGCCAGGATTTGGGAGAAAGGTGCAAGTCCCTCCTCCAACTAGCCATTGGAAAACTTGCCTCAAGGGATGTAGCAATGGTGGGCCAGCTACACTAACCATAGCATTAGCGTGGTGTAGCGCAGCAAAAATATGCTACTTTGTAGGGTAGCATTGGCAAAAAATCCACCTTTCTGCGCTAATGCTATGTGCAGAGGGCACAAGAGTGTGTTAGCTGTTAGCCTAGCGTTAGCGCAGAAAGTTGGAATTGCGCTAAGGCTACGCGCTCAGGGCACAAAAAAGTGCCCGCTTTTTAGCGCCTTGTCTGCCTTTTTTGCCGCTAAAAGCGCTGTAGCGCAGTGTAACACAGCGTAGCATCTGTAGCAGTGCACTAACACTACCCAGAAACAAGCCACCTGTTAGCGGCGCTACAGAGTAGCGTAGTGTAGCGGCACGCTAACACTACAGAAAAAAGGGTCCGTTTTAGTGCCGCTACGCTAACACTAAGTGGCCCTTTAGCGTAGCAGCCCACCGTTGGATGTAGTTAATTAAGTTATATGTAAACCTGGCTTGCATTGTGTCTAGGCTATGTCTTATAGGGAATACAAGTCTGATTTTCTGGTTGGGACATGCTCATCTGACGAGACAGTATGGCTTGATTTGCAAAAAAAAAGACTTGGGGTTTTTTGTCAGCTTTTGTTTTTTGGGACTATTTTTCTTGTGTGAATTTGATGGATTTGTATGCAAAATTCTTGAATCTAAGAGTGTGTTGTTTTGGAAGAGGTTCCAGTAAGAGAAGAGATATTGGACCCCTTAACCTGGTCCTTGACCATGATCACTCCATGAGCAACTGGCCATATACATGCATGCATGACTGGCTGGATGAGCCATGTATGTATGTGTGTACATCAAAGGATATCATTTGGATTGATGATAGGCAACAAAGGAGACCTTTTATTACTCCCTGGTTTTGAACACAATGAACAGGCCATCAGATCAGATTACCTTTGATTGTAATTTGCAGGATTACAGTGGGGGACACCATATTACTGTAACAACCCCCCAGCAAAATGCAAGTTGACCACGCGGGCTGAATGTTTGTCCACCATAGGAGTCCAAAAGTTCCAAAAGTGTCTTTTTTGGACTCTATGGAGGTTGTAGATTCTAAATCTTATTCAGTTTTGCAATTGGACCAGCCATTCTTTTTTTCCCTTTTTTTGAAATCATTATTTGGGACACATGCTACTTATACCTTCCCCTAAGCCCATATGTACACCCTAAGTGCATATTTATGGGCTTCCAGCAAGGCTTTATTGCATATACATGCATGCAAATAGACATATAAACACATATAATGTGTGGTCTACAATTATGTTGTGCTTCCTCTGGGCTCTTCAAGCCTTACTTTTGACCATCATTTGACCTTTTGGGTTTGATTTGTTGAAATTTCGAGTGCAAAAGTTCAGAAAAACAAACTTTGACCAACCTGACCCATCAATTTTCTCAAAAATATCACCCCTCACCCTCCTTTCCCCCTGCTCCCAAGGGAATTTTTCCAAATTTTTCCCACCCAAAATTTGGGACACTGTAAAATCTGTTACAGTAATATGGTGTCCACCACTGTAATCCATCGGCATCAGGCTCAACTCAAACCATGCACCCTTTCCAAAATCCAAAAACTCAAAACTCAAAAAAAAAAAAAAAATTCTAAACAAAGATGTGCATGATCTGATCAAGAAATTCAAGCTTCCTGAAAAACTTTATTATTATGTAAAAATGCTTTGATACTGCCACCTGTGCCAGATGGTCCTGCTGCTGGTATTGTTTTTTTTTTTTCTTGGATGGAGAAGAGAACAATTCCTGCATGTCTCCCCTCTCTCTTGCTTTGAGGTTTCATCCTTTCCTCTCCTTTCAAATACAGAACAGGTGCATACACACACATATAATTATGTGTGTAAAGGGAAACCAGACTGGGGTATTGATAGTCTTGGTTCTTTTTGAGTGAATCTGAATCCCTATTCTGTTTCTCTCTAAATATGTATATTTATCCAACCAAAGAAAGGAGAAAACAAATGATAAAAAAAAATGGAAACCGTATAGGATCATAACTTGTAAATGTATGTATATATATATATATAGAGAGAGAGAGAGAAAGAAAGAAAGAAAGAAGAGACCATCAACACACACAAACACATAAAAAGAAGTGAGATATATATCTAAAAAGGAACAAGAGCTCTCATGAGTTACTATAGGGGTTAATTTTTGTCGCATAAGCTCTAGATAAGAATTTCATAAAGATGAGGTAGACGAAATGAAACCATGAAGACCACATAAGACCAGTGATAGAAATCAGTGAAATTGGATAAATGATCGATGGATTCCTTAAAAGCCCATCATCCCAGGCATCCCTGTGAATTGCTGTCCCATCATGCCCGTGGGTTGGGCCTGCATTCCGCCCATCATTCCGCCGGTGCCGCCGTATCCGGACGGAGCGCCGGTGGGTTGGCCGCCCATCATCCCGTTGGACGGGCCTTGGGTGAGCATCAATCTGCCTCCAAAGCCTGGCCCAATGATCGGCTTCGATTCTGGATCATCCCATCAACCATGTCATTAGTTCCAACAAAAACATTTGTTTGACGATGGGGATGAGAGAGTGATGAAAGGAGGCCTACCAGTCTCTTCTACCGCTTTCGCTGATCTCAGACTTAGCTCTTTTAATTGGCGTTCGATCTGCTCGATCCGATTAGTCTGTTCCCTCATCTGTTGTAATCGATAAGGCATAGTGTAATCGTTAAGTGCACTAGCAAAAGAAAAGAGAAAACGTGATAAGTCACAAAAACAAAAACACGCAAAAGTGCACGGGATGCGTACTATCTCCACTGTAAGTCTTCAACCACGTCGGGACGAATGAGGTCGTAACAGATGTAAAGACACGCGGCAAAGCATTCCTTGTTGCCGACCTTGACGAAATACTCGAGCAATTCCTCCACGATCTCATTAGAAGCGGAGCTAGCGGCGGTGATCATAGCGTCCTTGAAGAGTTGATCTTTCTTGCTCAAGCTGATCGACTCTTCGAACTTGGCATTCTTGGCATAGAGCAATGCAGCCAAACGTCTGAACTCGAGCAGCTCGTGATTCTCGAGCCGTTTGGCAAGACTGACTTGGTCGAAGTTTTCATGGTTCGACAACGAGTCTCGAAGCGTCGCATAATCTTCTTCTTCGATCAATAAGTCGTGGTAGGCTTCGTTGATCGCAGGTAGGTCCAGATGTTGGACGGCAATCAGGTACGGCTTGATCAACGGCAGATTGTCCGTCTTTTGGAACATCTTCACTACTCTGGTGTGATCGATTCGTGGAACTAGAACCGTCAACAGATCCGTCAAGAGCGTAGGTTGTTCTTGCAAATAAAACGATAGCGCTTTATAATACAACTCAACATTGGCCACTGTATATCAAAATCAACGATTCAGTTAGACAGAAATGTAGCATGTTTTTTATTTTGTTTCTGATTGTGAAATGTCTGCAACAGATGGAGAGGGAAGAAATACTATACCTTTGACAATGATGTCTTTGAATTGACCATGATCCCAAGCATCCGCTGATCGTTCCATCATAGCCAAGACCGCGTTATCAAACTCATCATAATGAATGTATAAGAACACCAGTTCGGGCCAGAGATGGGCTTGCTCGGTGGCCCGGATCACTTTGGGGATGTTGATCCTCGACCAAAATAGCTTCAAATGTTCCATTAACTTGGATGGCTTATGCTTCGCATACAAGATTGAGAGTTCTGTGAACATTCCCATGTGAGCACGTTCGAGTCCCTAAGATCATTCATATTGCAATATCAATTCAGTTCGTCACTCCATATTTTAAGAGAATCTTGTGAAACATTTTCAGGTTAGCTTACCAAACCAGCTTCTAGGAGTTGCATCAACTCCTCAAAATAGCCTCTAGTCTCGTAGAGTTTGACCAAGGATTGTAGTTCTTCAGCGTGTACGACCAAGTTCAATCCACAGACCTGAGCAAGTCTGAACTCCTTCTTATCGACACAAGCCGAATTGACTTGTTTCCAGACTTGCGTGTTCCCAGCCTTACGGGCACAATCGACGGCAGCTTGATTGTCGCCAAGGTAAATCAAAGTGGTAGCCAGCCGGGCCCAGTTCGAGATCGCCGAGAAGAGCAACCGAGCGGCCTCGTACAGGCCGGCCTCAAATACCTGCTCTCCTGCACTCAGTTGATCAGCCACATTGGACATCGAAAGGAACTCTTCCATGTCGTGCAGTCTGTCGGTCTTGGCATAAGCAACACAAAGTTCGGTATCGATTTTGGGTTCCCGGAGCGTCTTTCTGGCCATTTGCAAGTATCGGACCATATCATCATGTTTACCTGCTCGGTCGGCGGTTTCAATGAGCTCCAAATAGTTGGTCGGATCCTCAGCCTTGATGTAGGAGTCGATCGCATCCTTGATCCTCAAACCGTCTAGTTGCGCCTTACCCAACCGACTCCATACGGCAGGCTCATTGACTTTTGTGGCGTATTGGGCTGCTCGATCGATACTCACAACATGCTCGACCAGCACATTCATAGCCTCCAAGTGCATCTTGTGTTTGCGGAAAAGGGTAAAAGCTTCCTCAAACAACTCATGCTCGATCGCAATTCCAGCGATCTCGCTAACATCAATACCTTCTAACTTATCGATGTAGCCCATGACTTTACCCTTCTCAGATCGGATGGCGGTTAAGAGTAGCAGCTTCTTCAGATTCGCATTGTCGCTGAATGCCGATGGCTCTAGAACGATCTTCTCCAGCAGCTCGATCAGTTCGATCGGTAAATCGGCAGCTAGGAATGCCTTGACGGTGACCGAGACATCCTCAGGATTTTGGCTTTCTGGCACAGCAGTAGATACCACTTGATCGACCAATTGTCGACGATGCATGTTATCGGGCTGCAAGACTTGGGCCCACAACTCGAGCTGTCGACGCTTGACAAGGTAACGGGCTTGCTGCTTGAACATCGAGTTTTCATTCGTGATCCGAACCAGATCCTCATCGCAAAATCCTCGGGCATATGCGATGTAGGCCAAAGTAGGGTCTCGCTTCTCGCAATATTTACCGATGGTGAGGGGATCATAGATGGTGTTTTCTTTCAAGAATGCTTCAGGGTTTTGGTTACTATCAATCAAAATCTTAGCCATGGCGTTGTACAGGCCGACATCAGTGATTCCCATTGCAATTCGTGCTTCGAGCCAGGGTAAGATCAATTTCAATCGATTTCGTTTTTCGACTTCTTCGACTAGTTCGTCTACAGGAATCGGGCCGGTGACGGATGCCAACAAGTTTTTTATCATCATTTCGTCCGCATCAACGTCCAGCAGCCCTCCAATGACCTGGGGTGCCCTTTGAGAGTTGACTTTCTGAACGTAAACCTCGATAAAGCTGGTCAAGCCATTTTGGTAAAGGAAGAGAACTAGGTCGTGGACAAAGTCAAATCGGTCGCAGACGATGATCAAAGGTAATTGATCCGTTAACTTGGCTTCTTTCAAGAAGTTTTTGACCTTTTCAGGAGGATAGTAATTCGATTCTCGACAGATTCGTTCGACTTCTCTGATTTGACCTGTCCTGGTGGCTGCCTGGATGTACTTGAAATGCACCTCGGGGTCTGTACTAAGGTTGACGATCGAGCCAAGGTAGTAGTAAAGTCCCTCGAACGTCTTGAAAGATTCAAACATTTCGATAAGTCTCACCGGTCCTACGAGATCAGAGTATTTGGTGGCGCCTTGGACTACGATCTGTAGGTTCTGGCGGATGTTGACCTTGAGCATTTCACAGAAACAATCGACTGTTTGATCGACAGTCAATTTTCCAAAGTAGTTCACAAGCCAATCAGGATTGAGAAGGTTGGTGTGAACCAGCACGCGCTTAATATCAGAGATGTCTTCGTAGTGCTCCAGCGCCTGCAATCCAAAAGAAAGTGGGATTTGATTTTTTTTAAGTAGGCGCAGGTGCAATTAGCATCGAAAACAAGCTAGAAACTCACGCGCTGTAACAATCCAGCCTTTTCACAGAGATTGGCAATGCTTGGACGATCATAATGTGAAAACATCTCATTACCCAAGATGGCATCGGCAACTTGAGGTGCATTTAGAAGGTTCATCTCCAGAAGTTTGGTCTGCAGATAGCCCTGCTCGGGTCGGTTTTCTTTTAAGGCATCCAAGAGGAAACTGGTGGCTTGTTGGATCATGTTCTGGGCCATGAAGATATCGACAACTCGCTCGACATCCACCAGAGGACCAGATTCGTCGTTGATCAAGGAGGTTGCAAATTCCGCTCCACTATCAGGGTTCAAGCGTGTGATATGTTGTAGGAGCGAGGCGTAATCGGGAGTAAAGCCGACCCTCTTGGCGTATACCACGATTTTATTGGATTGCCCTGTCTCGGCAAAACATGCGCAGACCTGTGATCAGAGGTTAATGTCAAGCCGTCAGACTCAGATGAGATGTGGGCTCATGCTGGGAAAAAAAAAGAAAGACTGACCTTATTAGGAATGTTGGCACGAAGGTAGACACTAAGAGCCAGAGTCATATCGTGTGCTCGAACGATGTCACCTAATTCCTCACTGCAGTCCAACTTGTCTTCTTTGAGCCATTTTTCTAGGAGTTGTTTGCGACCTTGAACAAGCACCGGACGAGCAAGCTCCAAACTCTCGGTCTGGTTCAGTTTTCCCCTTTCCAAGAGGATCCCGAAGTACTGTAAGATCGGACTGAGTTGACCTGGTTGCATGGGAACGCCTTTGAATTGCTCGATCGTCTGTGGAGTTCTCAGGATTCCGCGTGGAGAATTGGCGGCAACTTTAGCTGCCTCGGAAAACTGACCAGACGAGAAAAGTTGTTGGAACTGTTGAATGTAGATATCATCGGCTCCGGGAAGGTCAGCCCTGGAGGCCAGCTTGATGGCTAGCTCGGGGTTCTTGAGCGTGTTGAGAATGAAAGGTACGATAGTTTCTTCATCGACGGTTACCGAGAGTACTTGTCCTTTTCGATTGACTCCGATGATACCCGAACTCGTCTCATGTTCGGCAGTTACAAAGATAGTCTCGCCAGAGATTCGGTTCATGTAGATACATGCGGCCGTCTCGACATCATAGAGATGAATAAATCCGTACTTGGTGACCATGTAGATGATCTTGTGCTTCTTTGAGACCTGCATCGCCACAGGGAAATCGTTGGTGGCCTCAGGCGGGAAGAAGACATCGACCGCTTTCTTAGCGAAAACCGGCTGACCAGCTTGATGATCTATTTCAACAATGTGAAGCTGTAAAAATTCATACAAGAAGTGTTATCAGTCAGCAGGAGACAGTTAAAAGGAGGAAAAGAATGTACTGACTTTGGCACCGGCTGCGGTCCGAACAGCAAAGGCAAATAGTTTGCTATCGCTGGCAGCCCCCTCTAAGCGATAATCAGCAAAGCTGGCAGCATGGCCTTCGATCGATTGGCTGACGGCACGATCCTTGTTGTAGAGTTGCATGCTACCTTTGACCTTGAAAGCGCTGGGGTTGCTAGGGTTCCCGGTGATGCCGACGAGGACCATCCATTTCTCATCTGGGGAGGCGCGGTAGTTGATGATTTGATGGCCTGCTAGATTCGCGTTTCGATCGAAGACTTTGACCGGAGGACTTGTTGGGTCGAGTGCAGCCCAGTGGTAAACTGCAGTCTCGGTGACGATGCCCAGAGTTGAGTCATTGATCCACTTCCAAAACGAAACATCCTCATTCATTGCGTGTGACTTGACTTTTTGTTTGAGCTCGATGTTGAAGACCTGTAGTTGCCTCTGAGCTGTGATCGGAGAATGATCAGACTAAGTGATGAATGGGCAGGATCCTGACAGTCGTTCGATCACTGACCTCTGAGGGCAATAACCTTTTGGACTGGATGCATGATTGCGCTTTCGGCGCTGATCGGTCTTCGCATGACATTATTAGCATCTGAGAGATCGATAATGATCACTCTGAATAGTAAAAATCGAGGGGGAGAAATGTTAGACTGCGATATGTAGATGAGTGAATGAGTCATCTGGGAGGGGGCTTACTGTTTTGCGCCATTGACTTCTTCACGAACACACACATAACGTTCCGATTCCATGGTAAGCGTGTTGAAGCCGATGGAGGCTAGAATTCGCGAGGGAAAAGAAGGTTAGCCGATGAGGCGAAGGACATCGGGATGTAATACTGAAGGGGTGAGCTTACCTGGCTGGACGCCGAGGGCAGTGAGCTAGATCATCGGAAGTGATCGATGGTCAGTACAACAAGGATGGTCCGACAGAGGAAGGCAGATGGTTCTTACTTGGACATGTTCGCAGAATGAGATTGGCCGTTGTTCGGCCATTGGGTGATGAGGTTGTAGTCGAAGGGAAGGTGTTTGATTGTGAGTTGGGAGTGATGAGGAAGAAGGAGAGGTGGCTGATATGCTCTTGGGTGGTGTGGAGTGGTGTGGGTTGTTGGTAGTTTTGGTGGGTCTTACCACTTCACTCGTCCTTCGTCATCGACTGACTATAGCCCTGACCTATCAACATCCACACCCTTCTTCTATCATTCTACCCTTCAATCAACACTTTTCTATCATACCTTGAACATGGACACACACACACACTCTCTCTCTCTCTCTCTCTCAATTTCTGAGTCTGCAGTATCCGATTAACCTTCGAGCGGCGACACCTGCTCAATGACGATGTATCTAACCGGTTTGCAGGGGAGCCATGATGACGTACATAGCTTGATGATCGAGTTTGACCGACGTCAGTTCAACTGCAATATTCATCCGCAACAGCAACCACTCCAATCTATCAATTGAGCAAAGACTGCATAGAAGGATCTGGACATCCAACCCCAAAACCAATAATCATCAGGAAAAAAGAACAAGCTAACTATTATTCTGGAGAAAAGAAAAAAAAAACACAGCCTGGATTGGGGTATCGAAGCACAACATGTGCCTTGGACTGACCTTGCTATGGAGCACAGGTAAAAAAAAAAGGAAGGGGAGGCTGAATATCCCCTCTTGAGTCCAGTTCACAAAGAGAAGATAGGCAAAAAAGGAGGGAAGTAAATGACCTGGCATCTGATCACACAACTCAAAGCAAATAATTAGTGTATTTGGCCATTCATAGAGCAATTCTTCTGAGCAATTCCCTCAAAATAGTTGGTATCTGAGTACCCTTTTTGTTGCAATAGGATCCCCTCTACACCTTCTCATAACTAGAGAAGAGAATGGAGTGACTTGAATAATAATACTCTTTGGGAAAGATACAGATTGAATGTAAGCTCCTCAATCAGGTGCACTGCTATACATACTTTAATTGTTAGAAAACATTGAGTGTTCCACTGAATTGACTCAAAGGTTCTTTCAAGTTGGATTTATGTTAAACTAAGCATGCACATATTAAATTTTATATGATCTTGAAAGATAAAAGTGAAAGTAAAATTTTCATAAATAAAGAGGCACAAAAGAATCTTCTTCAATGAATCTCCAATTGTATGATAGAAAGACAGTGGAAATGCTTGCAGATGTGTGTGTTGAGTGATTGATCTGAGAGCATTCGCATTGGTCTGGTTAAGTTTTAGGTTAGGAAACCTGGGTGGCAGGTCCGGGTTTGCTAGCCTACTGTTGTCAAACGCATCTGTCCGGGTTGACAAACCCCTGGAGGACAACTCCCCGCGAAATCGCTAAATTTCGGGTTAGCAATTGCTAAATTTAGCAACCGCAAACCTGAAATCAAACTTTTGGTTAACTAACCTGCTGTTAACCTCGAATCAATGCGAGTGCGCAAGCAGGCTTGGTCGGGTTAACTCGCCTTAACCCGGAAATTTAACCCAACCAATGCGAATGCTCTGACCATTTGAGAAGATAATCATGGAAGTTGATTGTGATTCAGATCTGTCAGAACTATTGATTGATGGCATTGGAGACATTGATTCTCCTTCTGAACCTGAGTCCATCATTTTCCAATCCTGCTGATCAACTGGGGCTCTCTTTTATAATACCTTGATGATCTGGTCTTGCTCCTGCTAATTATCTAACACCTCTGGTCTTTTGGTTCATATTGCATATTCTATGATACATCCTTGGCCTTGTGCCTCTGTAAGTCATCTTTCTCCTCACATTTATCAACTTTACAAGATTTGTTTGATGGGCCAGGGAAATGGTCCAACAGGCAAGCAACATTTTTCAGGGGAGTATGAGCCTATGAGGAGAATGTGTGTGGCAGTTGTCACAGTCCACCACCAAAAACTCATAACTGCTTATGCCAAAATGTTAACATTTGGCCCAAGCTCCTCCTGTGGAGGTTTGTTTTGCAAGGTCTATTGACAATTGAGGGGCTTGTGTTAAGCCAGCATTGAGGGGTGTCCGTGTACTTGTATCAGCCAAAGATTCCTGAATATTTCCCACAGTTTTTCTTGCTCAGCTTGATTCACTTGTAACATAATTAATACCATCAGCTGTTGAGGTATGACACAGTTCAAGAAATGATGCCTTTGAGCAAATAATTTCCAAACAATTAATTGAGACTCCTTCAAATCCTGTTGAAAATGTAGAGCCGCATTCCTGAAAATCAACATTTGATGTTTTCTTTTTCAAAAGGTACATTTTTCTCCAAGTTGCAGTGTACAAAAGCTCTCTCACTATTCATGAGATCGGCATTTGCTTCTTAAACTGGTTGAGCAACTTAAGATAAGTAACCAACCGGCAGTAAAAATCTTGCAAGGAAAATGAAGTATTTCAACCAAGAAGACAACTGCTGAGTTTTTGAAAACAAATAACATCATGTAGCAACCATAAAACAAGAGTTTAGAATTGAGAAAATGACTGCTCATGCTTCTGTTCTGCTTGTCTCTATTCTTCACCCATGATAGGCAGGGATATCACAACATCAGATGATAAAACCTTGAGCTTCGTAAAGCGTCAAGACCCGCAAACCCCACTGCCAATTTCCAGTACCTCAATCAATTGTTTTACTCAAGTCATTGCTTGTGATGCGTCCTCTGCGTCCTCTTCAGATACATCTTCTTCAGAGCCAGGTTCGCACCCCACCCCAAATTCATGGGACTGGCAAAGAACTAATCAAAAATCAAAATCGGAGCACCCTCATCATCTATGCTTTCGTTATCCAACAGCCAAGATATCCATCCCCGAATCCCAACTGTAACTCCTTGACAAATAGGGGTTTTCCATTCAAGTCAAGGCATTAAATGCATCAGAATTGGCTTTTAGGAAAAAATAAAATAGAATATCGATTAGAAATGATCAATATAGTTGATGTTGGAGACATTGAGATGAGAGTAAAATTGCCTGTTGAGCCATCGGCAAAGCATTACCTATCAAGCTGACCAGGTGCTTCTTGAAAATTTGACGTGCCTGTCTCAGGAGTCTCTCCCGACCAATTTGGCTCTTCGCTCTGTCACGTCCAATTGACTGAGTTGGTTGGTCAAAATGGGCACAAGATAGAGTGGGGCAGCGTTAGCATGGTAGAAGAGGCATGCGGTATCGATCGATGGTTTGATGAGGGGTGATTTCATGGCCGCCGATGTTAAAATCGGTAATCAAATTAGTCATCGGGTTCTTGATTCATGAATCGAGTTGACAACTATTGATAATTATTAATCCGTATCGAACGATCTTTTTAAATATGATAGATTTACTGAAAGACCAACCATTCGATAAGGGGCGCTGTCTGCATAATCAAGTCTAAAACATGACATCGTCATTTTCGTCGTTTATGAGGGCCGAAAGCTTCAGACAAAGATGCATTTTAGTGAGCGAGACACCAGCCCGAAAACAAGGGCAATATGTGCACATTGCCTCGTTAGGTACAAAGGGCCCCGTTTGTACCTAACAAGGCTTTTCGGGCTGGTGAGATGATAGAAAAGTGATGAATGAATTTCCAAACAACTTACAGCTTGTGACTCATTGTCCAAACCATGAGTGCACCACTCATTTTCACCAGAAAAAGTATTGGGTCGCATTTTCCCCAGCCGCGATAACATCTCCTGGTGGAGTGTGATGTCGCGCCTGGGAAAAATGCGACCCAATGCAGGTCATTCAAGGTGAAAAGTGTTAGACCGCATGATCCACAGGCGCGATAACATCGCCCGGCGGGATGCGATGTTATCGCGCCTATGGATCATGCGATCCAACACTTTTTCTAGTGCTTATCTTAATCAGGTTGGACCGCGTGGCCGAATGTAGAGACAAAAAGCCCCCCAAACGCATAATGAAAGTGACAATCGTCACGTAACTGTTACGCATGAGCTGGGAGCTCATCCCGTTATCCATTGTGCAGAGTACCTATCCTCCCAGATCTTCAGTCAAGTGCCTAACTTGTTTGTGATCTGGATCTGGCTGTTAGCGCTTATCAAGCCTGGCTTGCACATCAGGCTATTTGTCGGGAAGGTGCAAGGTATAACTCAAGTCCTGGGGAGGATTTGTCCATTCCTCCCCAACAAGGAGCTGTCAACTTACTCCCCAGCTGGCAGCTAGCAGGTATAAGGTACACCTAATCACATGGAGTCAGCTTGCAGAACATTGCCGGCAAGTATTATTCACTGGCAGGGAAGAAGACATTGCCAGCGAGTTTCTTGCGCCGGCAAGCAAGCACATCCCTGGAGGGAAGCTTGGAAGGCCTGAGTGTTGCAAATGCAAATCAGATTTTCATTACTCCTCAATGGGGCAATGAGGATTTGCCTTGAGATTATAAACTTAGCTCTAACTTTTTGTTTCCAGATTCGCCCACCGGGTTGGACCGGGCTCTTTCGGATTTCCTCTGGCGATGTGCTGGGACATCCGATGAATCGTAGCCAGCAGAGACCCATTTCGAAAGCAACTGCCCGGGAACTGCCAAGGATGAGTCCAGCTGGTCTGGGGCTGCTGTTAACCGCATTCAACACGCCCCGGCGGTAGGAATGTTTGTTGGCTCAGGCTGGGCCATGCTTTTTGTGTCTACGTGCAAGCTGCTGCCGAGAGTTCAACATAATTTGTTTTTAATTTTATTATAAAATGCGCCTGAGGATCCAAATTATCGCTTCCAAGACCATCCCCACCAGTTTCCCCAGTTTACCGAACATCATCGACACATTACAACGAGTGGCCTTTCTCTAGTGCATCTCACATCAAACAACCCAGGTTTGTATATTTTAATCTATAAGTTAATTGTCGTTTAGTGTTTCTGATCATGTTTCTTTTTTTTCCCTTCACCAGATACAATGACTCTTTTGGAATTCCTTATTAGTTGTGCTATGCTGGTGTACATCTGTGAGTTTTTTTTAACAAAAAAACATTCACACTACTTGACAATAAAGACTAATTATTTATTTACATGTACATGGCAAAAAGTCAAGAAGGCAATCTCTGGTCGAGAATCTGAATTGAGGGCCGGTAATTGAAGCTGCTTTTATCTGATTTGAAAAATTGTTTGCTGACCTTTTCTTTCTTTTTTTGTAGAAACTTGTCAACTTGAGGCACTAACCAAGCTGTTGCAACTGCGGTTGGCACTACTCGAGGAGCAGCGATCGACGAAGCAGGAATTGACTGCTCAAGATCAGCAATTGACTGCACTGGAACAGAAATTGACTGCACTGGAACAGCAAAACACTACCTGCACCCATTGTGGACAAGATCCATGAATATAACATGGCCGACATACAATTTTTCCTACATATTGTTTCCTTGCTCCCTACGAACCTCTCCGTGTAATTTCAGCAGACGGAAGTTTGCTTTTTTTCTGTCAAGGGGCCGTATATTACTTCTTGTTTCGCTTATTTCCCTTGCCCTTTCTCTCTTTTTCTTTCATCCTACTAATCATTCAAATAATGTGTTCTCAAAAATCGCACCAATTCAACCCAAATGAATCTATATATGCAAGTGTTCAACAGATTCAGAGCTTTGTTGCCACCCTCTCCAACCCCATCAACACTAGCTTGAGCATATCCCGGATAGGGAGGAGTCCACCCAGACTCACCAATGCAAAAGCGAGGACGTAACCTTGAGGTAAGTTTGGTTGGAGACCTTAATTCGATAAAAAATAGGTAATAATTGAGCCAATCAAGCAACAGAGATGCTGTTATGCAAATTGCAATTTAGCATTGAGAGAGAGAGAGAGGTAACTCATATAAATTCCATTTTTTTCATTTTTGTTTTGAGGAACCCAGTGTGGATTCTTCATCTCAAAAAACTTATGCTGCTAAAGCAATCTGAGCCACAGCAGTCCTTCACATGCAGTGGGAATGGCCACTCAGCTGCCTTCAAATTCAATGCCTCAAGAAAAAAAAATGAAAAAATCCCAGGCAAAGGCTATTCATTAGCCCGGTTCACGTAGCTGCTTGTTCACAAATAACATTTATGTGACAAGCAACAGGCGGGGTCCCACGCACAATTTAGGCAGAACAGTTTAAGCAGCAACCAGTGCAACTTTTCACACATGTCATAACAACACCCTATGTGAACCAGGTTATTACAACACTAGCTTGAAGCTACACCACCCCAAAAAATAGCTCTCAACAAAAACCAGTTCAAAAAAAAAGTATGTCAAGTCTGCCAAGAAATTCAAAAATGTCAAAATCCAGGCATAATTGATTTGTTATGCACTCAACAAAGAATATCCTCACATTTACTGGAAAGTGTCAAAAGATTTTTTTGGCTCCCAATTATTCAAGCTTGGTGAAATCTGACAATTCTTCCTAGGACAAATGGATGAACACACCCATTGAGCTCAGGATGGAAATAACTGAAGTTTGTTTCGAAGTATTGATGGAAAATCAAGAAACTATAGCTGGAGAAGCTGAGGATAGAGCAGATTTCAATATTAATTGAATTTTACATGACTGAGGAGGGCTTCACCGAAGGCATTTTTCATCAAAGCAAAAATATACTGTTGATCCAACTTGTTAGCACAGATTTCTATTTTAGGCCTTGTTTGGATGACATTTTTATATGGCATAAATGGTAAAGTTTAGCACAGAACTGCGCTATATGTTGAGATGGACCAGGCTGAGAAATGGAAGTCACGGCTGTGGAGTCTGTGAGAACTTAGAGTTTATTGCTAAGAAACGAAACCAGACGGAGAAGAAAAATACATAAGTGATTGAATAAAAGGAAGATCAAAATAAAGAAATGAATGAGAATTTACCACAACAGAACAATAGAATTGCTGAGAACAACTGAGAATGATAAACAGTGAAATAGAGGACACAGGACTGCAACGTCATGATAACAGAGAGGTTAGCGATGAAGATTGATTGTTGAGGAGAAGGATGCAGTGTATTCTCACCAAGTTGAATCAGACAAGTGATCCAATATAAGGGAAGCTCGACAAGCATTGATGATGTTGAAGAATGAGGATTGACGATACTGGAAAAGAATCAGAAGAAGGATTGAGGAGAGCTGTCAGGCTGAGTGATGCCAAGAGCAGAACTCTTCTAGCTACACTAGCTGCAAAGGTAAAATGGGATGTGTACACGTGTGGGTGACACGTGAAAAGTGGGGGAAGTGTGTGTAAAAACAAAAGAAAATAGTAAATAAAAACTGTTAAGTTTTTATTTACAGAGTGGCTTGAGTTGCAGGGTTATTTTACTGTGCCCTCTAATTCTGGTCCTGAGTTGC